TTCTATTTATATGAAATCCTAGAAAGGCATAATTAATCTTTAGCGAGAGAAAGCAGAACAGTGATCCTCTGGGGCTGCGGGGTGGTAGGGATTGACTACAAAGGGGTACAAGGGAACCTGTAGGGCTGATGGAAATACATGCCTTCACTGTGGCAGTAATTACATAGGTGCATCCGTTTGTCAAAAGTCATCAAACTATAGCCCTGGCTGGCGTAGCTCAGTGGATTGAGCACGGGCTGCAAACCAAAGCATCGCAGGTTCAATTCCCAATCAGGGCACATGGCTGGGTTGCAGGCCACGGCCCCCAGCAACCACACTATTGATGTTTCTCTCTCTCTCTCTCTCTCTCTCTCTCTCTCTCTTTCTCCCTCCCTTCCCTCTCTAAAAATAAATAAATAAAATCTCTATTAAAAAATAAAAAGGTCATCAAACTATAAACTGAAAATGAGCTTTCAGATGTCATGCATCTGTAAGTTTGATTGACACAGAAAAAAAAACCCCAATTCTGCAATAACAAGGGATGAAGTACTGGAACATGCTACTACAGGGAGGACACTCAAAAACATTATGCTAAGTGGGGAAAAAAAAGCCAGATGCAAAAAACACAATAGGTATATTGTGTGACCCCATTGCTGTGAAATGGTCAGGAAAAACAACTTCATAGAGACAATAAGTAGCTTAGTGGTTGCCTGGGGTTTAAGTGCAGGGACTGGCTGCACCTGGGCCCGAGGGGCCTTTCTTAGGTGATGCAAATGCCCTCACATTGGATTGTGAAGATAGCAGCACAACATTGTCAAGTGCCTAAAAATCATTTCATTGCCCACTTAAAATGAGTGACCTTGTTATGTAAATAATATCTCACTGATGCTTATTTTCAAAAGATAGTTGACCATATGGTTCAACAATCCTGCTCCTTGGTATTTACCCAGAGGAGCTGACAACTTGAGGGTCACACAAAAGCCTGCATTTGAATGTTTATAGGGCTTTATTCACACAACTGGCCCAACTTGCAAGCCGCCAACGTGTTCTTCAGTAGGTGAATGGATATGCTGTAGTGCATGGGTACAATGGCATATTAGTACTAAAAAGAAATGAGATAGCAAGCCAGAAAAGACATGGAGACACCTCAAATGCATATTACTAAGGGAAAGAAGTAAATGTGAAAAGGCTACATATTTTTTTATTTGATTCCAACTGCACAATATTCTAGAAAAGGTAAAACCGTGGGTATAATACAAAGATCAGTAGTTGCCAGGGATCAGAGGGCAGACGGGGGTGAATAGGCAGAGCACAGAGATGTTTTAGGGCAGTGAAACTATTCTGTATGCTATTATAAAAGTGGATACATGTTATTGGACATTTGGCAAAATTTGTAGAATGTACAACACCAAGAGTCAGTCTTAATATCAACTGTGGACCTTGGGTGATGACAATGTGTCAGTGTAGGTTCATCGGCCCCAACAAATGTGCCACTCTGGTGAGTGCTGATCGTGGGGGCGGTTATGCGTGGGAGGGGGTTCGGGAATACGTGGGAATTCTCTGTATTTTCAATCCCATTTTGCTGTGAACCTGAAACTGCTCTGAAAAGAAACTCTTTTTAAAAAGAAATGAAATATCAAGCCGTGAGAAGACATGGATGAACCTCAAATGCATATCAGTAGATGAAAGAAGGAAATCTGGACAAGCAGTACATGTTGTATGATTTCAAGTACATAAAATTCTGAAAGGGCAAAACCGTGGAGACAGTAAAAAGATCAGTGGTTGCCAAGAGTCAGGGGGGAGTGGGGGTGAATAGTCAGACCACCGAGGATTTTTAAAGCAGTGAAACTATTCTGTATGCTATTCTAATGGTGAAGTCATTTGTTAGAACTCAGCACATACCATACTAAGAGTAAACCCTAATGTAGACTTTGGATTATAACAATGTGTCCATTTAGGTTCATCAGTTGTAACAAATATGCCACTCTGCTGATATGGGGTGCTGAGATAGAGGGGGAGGCTGTGAGTGTGTGGTGGGGGACAGGAACTATGTGGGAATTCTCTGTATTTTCTGCTCAACTTTGCTGTGAACCTAAAACTTATCTCAAAAACAGTGTATTCGAATGAACTATTTAAACAAAAATAATAACAATGTACTGCAGGATAAAAGTAAAATGCCTAACAATAGAACAAAGACCAGAAAGACAGAAATGGAAGAAGTATATTAACACAAGATTCTGCAAAAAAAATTTTTTATTGATAGATTTTTTTTTGAGAGAGAGAGAGAGAGAGAGAGAGAGAGAGCGAGAGAGAGAGAGAGAGAGAGAGAGATATTCAGAGATTGATTCCTGGCTGGTGTGGCTCAGTGGACTGCACGTTGGCCTGTGAACCAAAAGGTCACTGGTTCAATTCCCAGTCTGGGCACATGCCCGGGTGTTGAGCCAGGTTCACAGTTGGGGGCATATGAGAGGCAACCACACGTTGATGTTTCTCTCCCTCTCATTCTCCCTTCCTTCCCCTCTCTCTAAAAGCAAATAAATAAAATTTAAAAATATATAAAGAGAGAGAGAGAGACATGAATTTGTTGTTCCACTCATTTATACACTCATTGGTTGTTTCCTGTGTGTGCCCTGACTGGCAACTGGAAACCCTGCTATGGGGATGATGCTCTAACCGACTGAGCTGCCCAGCCTGGGCAATGTAAGGTTCTTATATTCTTCTTAAAGTGGTATCATAACACTTGAAGGCAGACTGGGAGAAGTTATGGTTGTACAAACTAAACCTTGAAGCAACCACTAAAACAACAAAACAAGGAGGGATAGGTAGTAAGTCAACAAAGGAGATACAAATAATATTGATTAATCCAAAAGGAGGCAGGAAAACACAACAAACAAGAGATGGGACAAATAGAAAACAAATAGCAAGGTGACAGACTGAAACCTAACCATATCGTGTTAAATATAGATGGTGTAAACATCCCAATTACAGGGTAGGGATGAGCAGATTGGGTAAAAAAGCAAGACCCAACCTTATGCTGCCTATGAGAAAGGCTCTTTACACAAAGACACAAATAGCTTAAAACTATATTTTTAAAAAGATGTATCATGATAACACTAGTCTTTAAAGGTGGGCGGGCTGTATCAGTATCAGTCAAAGTAGATTTCACAGCAAAGATAACACTAGTAAATAAGGAAGGTAATATCATGATAAAAAGTCAGTTAGTGAGGAGAACATATCAATTCCAAATGTTTGTGCACCTAATATAACAGCTTCGGAATACATGAATGAAAACTAAAAAACTAGAAGGAGAAATACACAAATCCACAATGTTTGTCAGAGATTTCCTTTCAATAACTAATGGAACAAGTAGGCATCAAATTGGCAAGGATATCGAAGTGAACACCACTATCAATCAAATTGACTAGATTTACATTTATAGAATATTCCGCCCAGAAATAGCAAAATAGACATTTTTCTCAAGTCCACATGAGGCATTTGCCAAGACAGACCATGTTCCAGGCCACAAAACAAATCTCAATGAATTCAAAAGGATTGAAGTCCTACAAAAATATGTAGATTCTCTGAAAACCATGGAATGAAATTATATATCAATAACAGAAAGATGTCTGGAAAATCCCCAAATATTGGATAACTGAATAATCCACTTGTAGATAACTCATGGGTGAAAGAAGAAATGAAAAGGGTAATTAGAAAATATTTTGAATGGAATGAAAATGAAAGCGCAACAAATAATTTGTGGCATTCTGCTAAAGCAGTAGTTTGGGGATAATTTGCAAGCACTAAGCAGCTCTATTAGATCAGCAGAAAGCTGTCAATGACAGGCTTTCACTTCAGCAAAATGAAGAAGAGCAGATAAAATGAAGTTTCAGAAGAAAAACAACGAAGATCAAAGTGAAAATCATGGAAATAGAAAGAGAAAAATGAACAAAACCAAGTTCTTTTTTTTAAAAGATTTTATTTATTTATTTTTAGAGAGGGGAGGGAAGGAGGGAGAGAGAGAGAGAGAGAGAGAGAGAGAGAGAGAGAGAGAGAGAGAAACATCACTGTGCGGTTGCTGGGGGCCGTGGCCTGCAACCCAGGCACGTGCCCTGACTGGGAATCGAACCTGTGATGCTTTGGTTTGCAGCCCACGCTCAATCCAGTGAACTACGCCAGCCAGGGCCAAAACCAAATTCTTATGTGCTAATGTTCATTGCAGCATTATTTGTAATAGTAAAAAATTAGAAAGGAGAGAAATGTCCATCAATAGATAAATGGCAGCTACAAAAGTCAAATTCATGGAGGCACAAAGCTGTTCAAAGATTGGTTTCCAGGGGCAATGGGAAGGAGGGAATGTGGAGTTAGTGCTTAATGGATATAGAATTTCTGTTTGGGGTGATGCAATGGTTTTAGAAATAGACAACAATGATGATTCCACAATATTGTGGATGTATTTAATGCCACTGAATTATACAGTTAAAAAAGGTTAAAATGGCCAACTTTGTTATATATATTTACCATAGTTAAAAAAAAGATCCAAAAGCCATTGAATTGTACAACTTAAGTTGGGAATTGTTTAGTATGTGAATTTATATCTCAATCGAGCTGTTCTTGAAAGTGCATGGTGTATGATTCCATTTATATGAAATTCTAGACAATGCAAACTAATATATGGTGACAGAGAGCAACCCTAATTCGCCAGTTTACCTCATTTTCCACATTACTTTGATCTCTTGCATCTGTCTTAACACTTTCTCAGTTCCCTAAGTGGCTCTTTATGTTAATACTGGTCCCGAGGAAAAACAGGGGTCTGGGAAGGAAGGGGTGGCCTCACTTTGCCAAGGGAAAGGTGAGGCCGGGGGACACTCGAACCCGGGACCTGGTCCTGGGGTCAGGATGTAAGCAGTGCTTGATTACCGGGAGGCGTGGTTTAGGATGCCGTGACGCCAGAAAAAGAGGCTGGTCCAAGGACTGCACTTCCCAGGAGGGCTCCGGGCGCTGAGAGGAGACTGCGTCCGACGACGGGGTGGGACTCAGGTCGCTGCCCGGATGTGGACTTGAGCCCGCCGCTGCAGCGGATCCCAGTGAAAGACGCCGGGAGGCTTTGCCGGCGGCAGTTGAGTTGAACCGCGCGGGACGACGAGCACTTTGCCGGGTATGTGACCCCTTATCCCAGGCAGTGCCCACATCTCTTTTGTCGAGTCTCCCCATCCCTGGGACCGTAGTCTCGGAGCCACTCCTTGGGTGGAAGGGATCTGAGGGTGGCATGAGCTGTATGTGCAGCGGGGGAGATTGAGCCTGCTCTGTGAATCCGATGTGGGGCACCTCTCTGCCCCGGCTCAAGAGTCCCGCTGGAGTCCCAGGAGAACCCATCACCCTTGGTGGAGGAGAGTATGCCCAGCGAGAGGTGCCCAGCGGGCTCGTCGTGGCTATTGATGGATCGCTGAGATTGCTTCTGTGGTGAAGTTGCCAGGCGCAGGATAGCCCCCCTGGCTCCGGGGTCGGGAGTCTTCACCCTGCTTCCTTCGCCTCCAGCCATCTGAAATCTCCCTTGACTGCACCTGAACCAAAGAAATTAGTTTTCAGTGTGAGAACCCCCCCCCACCGCACCCCCAATTTAGTGGATAACTGAGTTGCAGAAAGTACTAAATAAAACTAGGGGTCTTCTGCTGAATTGCTGTGGTTTCTGAGAAGTTAATTTAAGTGGATTAGACTGAGATTTGCTGAAAGGGTGAGCCTTGGAGAATGACGGAGAAACAGTAGTACTTTGAGCTGCGTTCTTGTTCTCACTGTTATTGGATCTTTTACATTGTGTTCAACTTAAGAGAAAAGTAACTGCTGTGCAGACTGTACAAGTGAAGGACGCTTTGTCACATGAGATAGGGACGTTTAGAAGAAGCTATGATCCCAAGGTTAATGGTAAATGACTAACAAGGAACGGAGCCTTCTAGGGTGCTGGTATTGGCAGCTCCATGCCTCTCCCAGTTTCTAATCCTAGACACACCTTGAAGATCTCTAAGCTGCTCTGATGTCTACTTAGGGCTACTGTGAAGTTAAAAATAAGAAAAGATGGGTACAAGTACTGTACACCGTGGTCCCCAACCTTTTTGGCACCCTGGACCGGTTTCGTGGAAGATGTTGCTGGTGGGGGGCGGAGGGAGGGGGTGCGAGGATAGGAGGCGAAGCTCAGGTGAGCTTCGCAGGCTGCACTGTGGAATGGGGGGGGGGGTGTCCGGAGGAGGAGCTCAAGTGACCTTCACTCCCCAGCTGTGGATGGGGGAAGGGGGGCCGGAGGCGGAGCTCAGGTGAGCTTCGCCGCTCCTCCGGAATGGGGGGGCTGGGGGCGGGGCTCTAGTGCGCTTCGCTGGCTACACTGTGGAATGGGGGGGTCGGGAGGCGGAGCTCGAGTGAGCTTCACTCCCCCCGCTGTGGATGGCGGGGAGGAGCGAACCTCAGGCGGAGCTCAGGTGAGGTTTGCACCCGGGCCGCCGCAGGCGGGGGAGGCAGGAGGCGCAACTCCAGCGAGCTTTGCTTACCGCCAAGTTCCTAACTGGCCGCGGCAGTCTGCGGCCGGGGCATTGGGGACCCCTGCTTCACACAATGCCTATAGAATGCTCTCAATTTTTACTTTCCCTTTACTTCCCTATAGCAACTCCCCCCCAGCCATACATTACTGTACACTATTACTTGCCTCCTGCCTTCACCAGAAGACGTTAAGCTTCTAGCATTCTTTTTCTTTGTACCCCCCCCTTTTTTTTTGAGTCCCTCCTAGCAATTCATTGCCCATAGTAGTACTTGGGACAGTGTGGATAGTGGTGGTGATGGGGAGGGGACAGCATTGTGCTGGATGCCGGAACTTAAGTAAACAAGCCTTTCTCAAATAGATGACAAACAGAATATTGGCCTTTCTCTTCTAACTCCTAGCCTTTTCTCAGAGCTCCCAAGCCTTTAAAAGAGTGTTATTTTACTTTTAATATTTTAACCATTTTAACGTGTACCATACCGTAGTGTTAACTATATTCCCATTGTTGTGCAACAAATCTAGAATTTTTTCATCTTGCAAAACTGAAACTCTAGCCCTGGTTTGTGTGGCTCAGTGGATTGAGTCCCAGCCTGCCAACCAAAGGGTCTCGGGTTTGCGGTTCTATTCTCGGTGGGGGCACATTCCGGGGGCACATTCCGGGGTTGAGGGGTGTGCGGGAGGCAACTGATAAATGTGTCTGGTGCTCAACAATGTTTCTCTCTTTCTCCCGGCATTCCCCTCTCTCTCTGAAAATAAATAAACAAATAAATAAATAAATAAAATATAATATTTAAAAAGAACTGAAACCCTGTACCTATTAAACAACTCCCCCCATTTCTCCCTTCCGCAGTCCCTGGCCACCATCATTCATTCTACTTTATGTTTCAATAAATGTCACTCTTCTGGATATCTCACATAATTGGAATCATGCAGTATCTGGCTTTTTTTGGTAACTGGTTTATTTCACTTAGCATCAAGTCCTCAAGGTTCGTCCATGGTGAAGCATATGAAATCCATCTTATTTTTTTTTTAAGATTTTATTTATTATTTTTTTAGAGAGAAGGGAAGGGAAGGAGAAAGAGAGGGAGAGAAACATCAATGTGTGGTTGCCCCTCATATGCCCCACACTGGGGACCTGGCCTGCAACCCAGGCATGTGCCCTGACTGGGAAACGAACCAGTGACCCTTTGGTTCGCAGACCCGTGCTCAATCCACTGAGCTACACCAGCCAGGGCCATCTTATTTTTTTTTTAAAAATCTGTTATTTATTTATTTTATAGAGAGAGAGAGGGAGGGAGGGAGAGAAACTGCAAGAGATGGACATCAGTTGCCTCTCGCACGCCCTCTACTGGTGCTCTGGCGTGCAACACAGGCAGGTGCTCTGACTGGGAATCAAAGTACCAACCTTTTGGTTCGCAAGCCAGGCACAATCCACTGAGGGCCCATCTTCTTATAAATGTATATATTAATATTTATATATAAATACATAAATATATTTATTAATATATAAAATATGTATTTATTTGCCACATTTTTCTTATCCATTCATCTACCGATAGACATTTAGGGTGACATTTAGGCTGCTTCCACTTTTCCACTTCTTGGCTCTATTAATGAAGCAATGAATGTGAGTGTGCAAATAGGTCTTCAAGATCCTGTTTTCAATTATTCTGGACATATTTTTATTTTTTAATTTTACTTATTTTTAGAGAGGGGGAGAAAAGCATCATTGTGAGAGAGAAACATTGATCCGTAGCCTCTTGCACTCCCCCAACCAGGGATGAAACCCACAACACAGGCACGTGCCCTGACCCGGACGAACTGGTGGCCCTTCGCTTTGTGGAACGATGCCCAACCCACTGAGTCACACCGGTCAGGGCTCGATATATTTTTAGTATTAGTTATAAAACTTTTTAACTTTGGAGAATTTTAAACATACAGAAGTAGATAAAACAGTGTAATGAACATGTGGGCTGAATAAATGGGTCAGTTGTATAAAACAGCCTTTGAAAGTACCTGGGACTTTTGCTGATCCCCCTGCCCCCCGCCTTTCATAGACAGTGTGTTACGGGTGAGCATATCTGGAGTTTTGTTTCAGACCCCAGGTGTTCTAGCTGCACTTCATCATGTAGGCCTGCAGCCATCAGTGTGACTGGAGTGCCCAGCTGCAGACCATATATACTAGGAGTATTTGGAGATAACAAATGAGTAGAAGTGAGTGTAGGTGCCTTTTCCTACTTATAGAGAAGAGGAGCTGAGTTTGGAGTGCAAAGTGGTCTTTGTGCCCAAGAATTTCCCTCTGATACAGCAACCCCCTCAGATGCAATACTGTTCTGAAAGCAGTCACTTGGGGCACAGGTGTTTGACACTAGATGATACCTAGAGGAGGCTGGGAAGATGAGAAATAATAGCAGTGATTGCTATAGAATTCAGAGGACAAAGAAATGCATCCAGACTGGGAAAGGAATGTGGTAGTGACTTTGCCCTGATTCTAGTGACGTTGTGTGTTCGATCCTTAAGGCTGTTGCTAGGTAGAAAAAGACAGAGCTGATAGTGAGTACCCTGGGATGGTTGCCTGCTAGTCCTGAGTTATCCTTTGGACTTGTAGCTGTGGGACCTGTGCTACCAAAGGCTTCTGGGTAAAAGGCATCCCTATTCAGAACCGGCTGGCTGTGTGGGAAGATAGCTACCTCTAGTGGGCCTGTGCGAAGCATCCTCAGGCCAACTTTACTGAGACCCAAATGAGTGTTGTTTTGGTTTTGCCCGTGATACGGGGCTGAATAGAGACCTTTACTAATAAGATAACAGGGTAGGGGATGTGTCTATTCCCCCAAATTCCCAAGGTGAGAAGCTAATTCCCATTTTTTTTCTCTAATCAAATACATATGACAATGTATCCCCTTTCCTCCACATTCTGACACTTGAAGAGCTGTATGCTATAAGGATTGGGTCTGACATGAGGGCAGTAGTTAAAAAGCTGAAGAAATTGGAGTGCTCTGGGGCACTGACAAGGTAGGGCATTGCCGGGGTATTGATATGGGTGTTTGAACATAGGAACTCAAACATGTTTCTTACAGACCATCTCTGCCGGGGTCCCCAACCCCCAGCCCCCCAGCCCCCCACCCTGCAGACCTGTATGTGCACAGCAGGAGGTGAGCAGTGGGCTGGCGATTTGCCGATCTGCTCCCATTACTGCCTGAGCCTCGCCTCCTGTCCTCCTGCCTCCCTGCCCCACCCTGGCCCTGGAAAAATCAAAACCAGTCCCTGGTTGGGGATCACATGCCATGCCATTAACTGCCAAGTGCTTCATGCATGAAGAAGTGGACAAAGAGTACGGTGCTCTTGTGACCTGTAGTTTCACTCAGAGAAGATGGGAAGGGATGAGACCCCTGGCTTGTCTGGCGTTGTAATCACATCGGGGAACTTTTGCCTTCCGTGGCAGAATGGTAGAAGAGTAATAACGTATGAAGTCTTAGTAGCTTTTGAAACCTAATAAGTACTTTGTATGTGGCAGACACTAATAATGACTGTACCTACATTCTTTCATTTAAGCCTCAGGTTAGAAATTTGCCCAAATTCCCAAGGCTTTGGAAAAGAGAGGACAGGTTTTTGACTCCAGAGGGTTTGACCTCAGAGCTTGGAATCCTTTTTTAAAAAATTTATTTATTTACTTTTGGAGAGAAGGGAAGGGAGGGAGACAAACAAACAGCCATGGGTGAGTGATGGGGTGCCTCTAGCACGCCCCCTACTGGAGACTTGGCCCAAAACCCCAGCACGGGCCCTGACTGGGAGTCAACGGGTGACCTTTCGGTGTATAGGCCGGTGTTCAATCCACTGAACCACACCAGCCAGGGCATCAGAGCTTGGACTCTTAATCACTTCTCTACATCGCTGATACCTTTCACTTTGGTAGTAAGTGTTGTTATTTTTCAGGAACAGAGAGGTTCCTTTGCTGGGTCTATAGCCACAGACCCAAAGTGAGAGCCCTGTTTCTTTTGTTTCAACTTTGGGAACCATCTTTCTATACTTAAAAAAAAAAAATGAGTGACCATTTACTGAGCACCTAGTATATTTTAGCAGCTTGGATACCATCTTTTCAGACCTTAGGACAACAATGTAGCATAAACACCGATGTATATGAATGGTATTTAATCTTTTGGGGGCTCACAGCCCTTTTCAAGACTCTAATAACAGCTTTGGATCTTCTTTCCAGAAAAATTCACTTAAGCGCATACATATAGGATTGCACACAACTTCAGAGGCGGCTTTTAGGACCCACTGAGGCCTGTCTTTTAGCATCCATGGTAAGAACTCTGGCCCCGTACCACCTTCCCCAGCTGGTTCTTCTGTGGTGTGAAGGGGATGGGCAGTGGGTGGGGGGGTTCACCTCTTGTCTTTCTCCTCGGAGAGCAATGTTTATGAAGCTTGGGCTCCCTTCATTAACTGAGCATCTGGGAACACTCTTCATTTCTCTCTTACACGTAGGACTCCAAGGGAAGAATGCAGACGATCAAATGTGTGGTTGTAGGAGATGGGGCCGTGGGTAAGACCTGCCTCCTCATCAGTTACACAACAAAGTCCTTTCCTGAGGAGTATATCCCCACTGTCTTTGACAACTATAGCGCGCAGACATCTGTGGATGGCCAACTTGTCAGCCTGAACCTATGGGACACGGCTGGTCAAGAAGAATACGACCGACTGAGAACGCTCTCCTACCCCCAGACCAATATCTTCGTCATCTGTTTTTCCATCAGCAGCCCATCCTCTTATGACAATGTGAGGCATAAGTGGTACCCAGAGGTCACCCATCATTGCCCCAATGTACCTGTTCTGCTGGTAGGCACCAAGAGTGACTTGCGAACTGACGATGAGACAGTGAAGAAGCTGAAGGAACAGAGCCTAGTGCCCACAACTTTTCAGCAAGGCATTATCCTGGCCAAGCAGGTGGGGGCTGTGAAGTATCTGGAATGCTCTGCCCTGCTGCAGGATGGAGTACAGGAGGTGTTTTTGGAAGCTATCCGCGCTGTGCTTTACCCGGCCACAAAGAAGAGCACCAAGAAATGTGTCCTCTTATAGCTTTTGGGGTGGCACTTAGGGACTGCCTCCATGGAGAATAAGCAGGGGGATTCCTTTGACAGGATTTAATAATGCCAACAGAGCCAATTGACTCTTCTGGAAACCCTGGGCTGTAGGTTGCTGGGCTTTTGGAGGAATGAAGACAGACAGGCTAGTCCGTATGTATATGGCTGCTTTGTGTTTTGGTTTGAACCTTTGGAAGGAAGTGTGTGTATGTGTGTGATCAAAACAGTAAGAGGAGACACCACAAAGCGCTGTTCCTTCCTGTCCTGGCCGGGCCGAAACTAAGCAGAGCAGCCTTTTACTGTTCTTTTGTAGACTTTTGCCTGTTCGCTTCCAAATCGAATTTCAGCTTTTCTGACTAGTTAATATTGAGCAAGTGCCTCACAGGAGGACAAGGCTTTCCAGTTGTTGAATCATTGCCTTAAACTTTCTAATACACTAATTTTTCTTGAATCCACTAATCTTTAAAAACCAGTTTATGCGAGATTCCTGGGCGTTCCCAGTGTTGACATGTCCTCATTCTTGAGCTAAGACGTTTTGGCAACACTGGTTAAGTAGAATTTTCCAAAGTTCTGTGACATGGGAATAGATATTCCTTAGAAGGTTCTGTGAGCAAATAAGCCAGGAACCAGCTATTTAAATAAAAGCTCAAGAGGTTCTTCTACTGTAGGAATTTATAATTTTTAATAAGCATGCAACATTCCGGAAGCTTTCACTTGGTCCTATGCAATATCTATTAACATCTTTGGAAACACGGTTTCCAAATCCTGGGTTGATAGGATGTAGGAATTCCTGTGCAGGAGGCTATGAAAAAAAAAAAAGCATAATGTGGCCTCCTTCGCGCCTTTGAAAGAAATGGCAGTCACGGACTTTTACTGTCATTCCTCTTGAGTTACTATAAAGGCTACTGTGCTCTTTTCCTGTTCCTCCTCCATACACCTTGGGGTGTGGGTGGGTGTGTTAGTTCTTTCGTTCGTTCATTCGTTCATTCAGCCGTGTGTGCCTTTTGAGGTCTTTTAGTTGCTCCAAAAGAGTTGGAGTTTGTTGGATCTCCAGGCGGTAGGCTGGAGTTGCTCAGCCTGCCCTGGGGCAGTGTGAGTCAGATTCTTCATCCCAGTAGGCCTCCTTCTCCATAGTTGTTAGATTCCTGACCTTTATTTGATATGGAAGAAAAACTTCCCCACCTGGCAGATAGCAGTTGACAGCTCCCCTATGTCCATGTCCATACCTTCTCATCCTGCCAAAATAGCATTGGATTTTTGAGCCTTTGGCAGGTAAAAGGATGGCATACCGCACTGCCTCCCCCTGTGGTGGGTGAAGTGTCTGTGCTTTGCTCCATGACAGTCTTGCTGTGGCTCTTTGACTAGATGTGAGCAGACTTGCCTCAGGCTAACTGAACCTCCTGAATAGGGTTGCCAGAAAAAACACAGCAATGTTTTACATGACACAAGGAGACTAGACTGGGCAGTGAGCACACAGTGGAGTATGCAGATGTTGTGCGCCTGAAACTTGCATGTTATTAACCAATATTACTCCAATAGATTTAATTAAAATTAAAGACAAAGTTTTTTTTTTTCACAAATAACTTTTTAGTACAAGCAATGTACCACGTAATATTTGGGACATACACGAAAACATTATTTGCTGTTCATCTGAAATTCAAATGTAATGCAAGCATCCTGTGTTTTTACTTGGCTTAACCTGGCAATCCTCCTCTTGGAGAATCTGGAACCTGGAGGTCAAGGAGAAATCAAGTATTGATAGAAGATAAAAAGTTTATGTTAACTCTATCTTACTACTTGTCTTCTGGTTTCCCCTTTCCCTCACCTGGGACTACGTACGCTGTTCAGTTTTCCCTTCATCATTGTTCCCTCCATTTCATACACTACTTCATTGGCATTTATTTCTACACCAGTTGTCTAAAGCTGTGACGGATTTAGGGAGGATAGTATTTGTCTGGCGTGTGCCTTCTATCTCAATTTCAGGGTACTGTATTTATTTCCCACTGTGTGCTCCAGGGCTTCCTGTGGTGGTGGTGGTGGTGGTAGTGGGGTGGTGGGGATTCTTTCTAAGCAGGGTGTCCACTGGAAAAGAGTGAGGGTGGCCCTTCTCAATGAAGGCCCAGGAGTGCTTTGGAAAGTGAGGTTGCTGTACAGTGAAGCACAGTGAAAGTGAGGTTGCTGTACGGAGAAGTCCGGTGACTGTAGGGGTCAACTCGCCTGTGTGCATGAGGTGTCCTTTGCCCTTGTGTAGAGTCCTTGAGTTTTCCCAGAGACAGTCAAATGAAAGTCCTTATTGCTCAAGCATATTACAGCCTCAGGGTGTTCTGATTGCTGCTGGGTGGCACACAGGGCTTCATGGTCGAAGGGTTAGAAACACCTATGTCTCTAGGAGCTTTCTGTTTAGCTACTGAAGTGTTTTCAATTGGCCTTTAGCCCTAGCTGGGTTGAGAGCTGGCCTGTGAATCAAAGGGTTGCCAGTTTGATTCCCAGTCAGGGTACATGCCTGGGTGGTGGGCCAGGTCCCTGGTTGGGGGGTGTGCGAGAGGCAATCTATTGATGTTTCTCTCAAATATCAATGTTTTTCTCCCCCTTCCACCTTTCTCTAGAAATGAATAAATAAAATCTTTAAAAAAAATAAATTGGCTTTTAATTTAATAGTGCCTCCTGCTCTTTTTGTCTGGAAAATTCCCAAATGTAAGCATAGGTTTTGTTTGGGCAAACTTGTGTCCTCTAATAAACGGAGGTGTGATCCACAAGTGTGAGAGAGTGGTTTTGCTACTGGACTGATTTGATGATCATATGCATACACTGACATCTTGATTTTTATACTTAAAAGGAATCTGAATGAAGATGAACATACTAGTGTTACTTTTAAATTATTCATAATGGATGCAATAAGCTTTTCCCACTTTACTGGGTCTGTTGCTTTCTAAAAATACAAACAATGCCTCCTCCCTCCCACTCCCCCATTTTGAGTTGTTTTGAAATTCTTTTCAACTTGAAAAGGATAGAATAACTAGAATTAGCCCTAACTGGTATGGCTCAGTGAATTGAGCACTGGCCTGTGAACCAAGGGGTTGCCCGTGCCATTCCCGATCAAGACTCATGCCTCTCCCCAGTAGGGGGTGCATGAGAGGCAACTACACATTGATCTTTATCCCTCCCCCTCTCTAAAAATAAATTTAAAAAATTTTAAAAAAGAATATAATTATTGCATTGCACATTGTACCTGTGTGTAACTACTTATTTTCCAAATCAGACAATCAGTGTATGGAATTGTCTGCCTTGCTAACATTGACTAGTTACTGCCCCACCCCCCACCCGCTCTGCCCCACCTATTCCTCTTCAGGATTTGCAGTAGCTTCATTTTCTGGTTTTCACTAATGACAGATCAGTTAGTTCCCTGTAGGGGGTTTTCCTCATTTATTACACTACATTCAGTACACAATTATCAAGCTCCTACTGTGTTAATAGGCATTACTGTACTGGGAGCCTCTCCCAGTTATCTCAGGAAAAGATCTGTTATAAAAATTAATCCTAGCTGGTAATTGTATATAGTTTTGGTGCACTGCTGAATGCACTAGTAAGGAAGAGCAAAACAATGTTTTGTTTTGTAGATAGCTTTATTGAGGTATAATTTACATACCATAAAATTCACCCAGTTCAAGATGACAATTTAATGATTTTAGTAAATTTGGAGTCATAGCAACCATCACTCACATCTACTCTTAGAACCTTTCCATCACCCCAGAGAGTTCCCTCATGCAGTTAATCCCTGCTTCTATCTGGAGCCATAGGCAACCATTCATCTACCTTGTTTTTTTCTGAACATTTCATATAAATAGAATCAAACAATACGTGGCTGGTTGGAACTTGCTTCCTTCATTTAGCATAATTTCAAGGTTCATCCGTTTTGTAGCACATATGGCCACTTCAGTTCTTTTTATTGTTGAATAATATTCCACTATATAGATGTTCCATATTTTATCTGCTCATAGTTGAGGGACATAAGATTGTTTCTTTTTGGCTGTGCTGCTGGGAACCTTTGTGTACAAGGTTTTGTGTGGACATGTTTTTTATTCTTTTGGGTGTTTTTGATTCCACATATGAATGGCATTGCTAGGTCATACGGTAAATTTACGTAAAACTACTTTTTGAGTCAAGAATGGCATCTTTAATATTTATAGTATCAGAAGTCCCTTTCCACATTTTACAAGCCTCCATCTACCTCATATTTGCTTTCCTCAAGCACAAGCATCCAAGAGGCATTATAACGTACATTAAAGAACATCCCATCTTGCTTTTTTGTCTTAAATATTAGTACAGCAATAGTATTCTACTAACTTCTCTTTACCAAACTGCATAGTATCAGCTACCCCGTAGGTTTTGGCAGACCTGTATCATCTGGCCTAGAAATGTAACTACTGTTAAAACGTTTTATGCGCCCTGGCTGGTGTGGCTCAGCGGGCTGAGCACTGGCCTGCAAACCAAAGGGTTGCCAGTTCGATTTCCAGTCAGGACACATGCCTGGGTTGCTGGTTAGGTCTGTGGTTGGGGGAGTTGGGACATACAAAAAGCAACCCACTGATGTTTCTATCCCTCTCTCCCTGTCTAAAAATAAACTTAAAAAATCTTAAAAAATATCCAGGGGTGTCCAACCCATGGCCCAAGGGCTGCATGTGGCCCAGAATGGCTATGAGTGCAGGCCAACACAAAATTGTAAATTTACTTAAAAGCTTTTTTTTCCTCATCAGTTAGGTTTGTGATTTAATGTGTGACCCAGGATAACTCTTCTAGTGTGGCCCAGACACGCCAGAAAGTTGGACACCCTGATAGACTCACTTATTTATTTTGCAAAACAAAACACAGGAAGTACAAATATTGAATAATTATGTTGTAGACCTGAAACTAATATGTCAATTCCACCTCAGTAAAACATAATAAACACAGGAAGGATACACCAGAAATTAATGTAAATGGTTATTTATAGGGGATCTTAGGGGAGGTGTCAGGGGAGGGTTTCAGCAGAACATTCAGTTTTCTAGGTGTGCTCTTTCAGGGTTGTGGCTGCCACCAATTGGTCAGTGACAGGGCAGGGGGTCATTAGTGATTGCAGCTGGTCCTGGCTCCACCCACCTGGTTTTGCTGCTCCTCTGGGTCTGGAGCTGAAACAACTGAAGCCTAGATGTTATTTCTAAGAAGGTGACCTTCTGTATCTGGCTGTAAATTGCTCAGCCAGATTATTCAGCTGTCTGTCTCAGTTTCCCTGTTCCACCTGCCAAGGAATTTTTCTATCTTCTTACTATCCTGCCTCAGTATCAGCTCCTGGACAGGTAATGTACAAAGTAAGCTTGGAACATCTTGTGCCAAAAAAACAAGTGCTCAAAGACTTGTGGGTCATGTCGAAAGGACACAGGAGCCAGAGTGAAGTGGTTCCCATTGAACAAATCTGGGACAGTTTGAGCATCAGAAAGGATAAAATGGTGCTGGATTGTAACACATTAAAAATGCAAGAAACGACCTGGCTGGTGTGGTTCAGTGGATTGAGGACAGGCCTGTGAACCAAAGGCTCGCTGGTTTGATTTCCAGTCAGGGCTCAGGCCTGCACTGCAGGTCAGGTCCCCAGTAGAGGGCGTATGTGAGGCAATCACTCATTGGTCTTTGTCCCTCCCTTCCTGTTTCTAAAAATAAATAAAACCTTTTAAAAATGCAAGAAAAGAGGTAAGAAAAGGGATTAGTTTTTCGTTACTGATAAAGTCCAGTTAGTAAAATAGGAATTTAAGAATTAGAAAAATCACCCTTTTGCACTTTCCCAATATAATTGATTCAGGCAAAGATCATGAATAGATGTTAAGACCAGTGGATGCAAGGCGACAACAACTTCCGGCCAAGATGGAGGCATAGACGGACACACTGTGCCTCCTCGTGCAACCAAAAGAAGGACAACGGCAAATTTGAAACCCGAGAACAACCAGCACTGACAGAAAATCGAACTGTATGGAAGTCCGACAACCGGGGAGTTGAAGAAGAAACATTCACCCAGATCGGTATGAGGTAGGAGGGGTGGAGAAGGACAGCTGGGCGGAAAGGACTCGGGGCAAGGTGGTGGTTGGTGCGCTGGGGTGGGGGAGGGGTTGGTGGTGGCTGGTGGACCCGGCGGTCCCACAAATGCGCGCAAATAAACTGGGAGGAACAACTGGGGGAGCGAGACAAACCACGCAACCCGGGGTTCCAGCGCGGGGAAATAGTCTCAAGCCTGTGATTGAAAATACCTGTGGGGGTTGAGGCAGCAGCGGGAGAAACTCCCAGCCTCACAGGAGAGTCTGTTGGAGAGACCCACAGGGACCTAGGGTGTGCACAGACTCATCCACCTGGGAATCAGCACCAGAAGGGCCCAGTTTGGTTGTGGGTAATGGGAAAGTGACTGAAAACTGTCAGGCGAGTATGCGCCATTGTTCGCCATAGGACCCCTCCCCCACACCCAGCGCCTTCACGCGGAGACCTGGGTTGCCCCGCCCTGGTGAACACCTAAGGCTCCGCCCCTGACTACGTCTGAGGCGCGCGGAGACCCAAAAAAAAAAAAAAAAAGCCCAAGTGAAAGAACAGTTCAAAGCTCCAGAAAATATATAACTAAGCGATGAAAAGACAGCCAACCTATCAGATGCAGAGTTCAAGACACTGGTAATCAGGATGCTCACAGAATTGGTTTAATATGGTTGCAAATTCGACGAAAAAATGAAGGATATGCTAAGCGAAATAAAGGAAAATATACAGGGAACCAACAGTGATGGGAAGGAAACCAGGACTCAAATCAACGGTTTGGAGCAGAAGGAAGAAAGAAACATTGAACCAGAACAGAATGAAGAAACAAGAATTCAAAAAAATGAGGAGAGGTTTAGGAACCTCCAAGACATCTTTAAACGTTCCAACATCCAAATCATAGGGGTGCCAGAAGGAGAAGAGGAAGAGCAAGGAATTGAAAACTTGTTTGAAAACATAATGAAGAAGAATTTCCCCAATCCGGCAAAGGAAGTAGGCTTCCAAGAAGTCCAGGAAGCTCAGAGAGTCCCAAAGAAGTTGGACCCAAGGAGGAACACACCAAGGCACATCATAATTACATTACCCAAGATTAAAATGAAGGAGAGAATCCTAGAAGCAGCAAGAGATAAGGAAACAGTTACCTACAAAGGAGTTCCCATCAGGCTGTCAGCTGATTTCTCAAAAGAGATTTTGCAGGCAAGAAAGGGCTGGAAAGAAGTATTCCAAGTCATGAAAGGCAAGGACCTATATCCAAGATTGCTCTGTCCAGCAAAGCTTTCATTTAGAGTGGAAGGGCAGATAAAGTGCTTCTCAGATAAGGTCAAGTTAAAGGAGTTCATCATCACCAAGCCCTGATTATATAAAATGTTAAAGGGACTTATCTAAGAAAAAGGACATAAAAAATATGAACAGTAAAATGACAACAAAATCACAACTATCAACAGCTGAACCTAAAAAACAAGCAAACTAAGCCAACAACTAGAACAGGAACAGAACCACAGAAATGGAAATCACATGAAAGGTTATCAGTGGGGAGGAGAGGGCAGAGAATGGGGGGAAAGGTACAGAGAATAAGCAGCGTAGATGGTAGGTAGAAGATAGACAGGGGGAAGTTAAAAATAGTATAGGGAATAGAGAACCAAAGAACTTATGTGTACGACCCACGGACATGAACTAAAGTGGGGGGAATGCAGGTGGGAGGGGGTGTGCAGGGTGGAGGGGAATAAAGGGGGGGGAATGCGACAACTGTAATAGCATAATCAATAAAATAAATTTTAAAAAATGAAAAAAAGCATTCATTGCAAGGACTATGTGACAAACAGGATATTCACACAATCTCAAAGTATTTCTTCATAGATTATTCCCTGATTATAAAAGGTAAATGTGCTTTTGGGATGGAGAGATCTGGTGATCATTTTTTTAAGGTGATCAAATTTAGCATCACTAATATTGGGACAACCTGGTGTCTCTGGGTAGCTGGGAAAATATTTAACCTGAGTGAATTTGAAGATACAATCAGATGAATCCAGAATATGGAATATTTTTTAAATTTAATTTATTTTTAGAGAGGGGGAAGGAGGGAGAAAGGGAGAGAAAAATCGATGAGTGAGAGGAGTATTGATCTGTTGCCTTTCACATGCCCCCACTGGGAATCAAACCAACCCTGGGAATCAAACCAGCAAGTTTTCCATGTGCAGTACGATCCTTAAGCCACTGTACCACACCAGCCAGGGGGAGAATGTGGAATATTTTGAAGACAACTTGTCTGGATTTTCCAAAAATGTAGTGGCATGCAACACAAAGAAAAAGGCTGGGTAAGAGACTAAAGGGGAACCACCAATGCAATGCATAAACCTTGATTGAGTGGATTGTGGATTGAGATGCAAAATGTTCCAGTTAGAGGACAATTGGGGAAATTTAAACATAAATTGTATGTTAAATGATATTGGATTAGCCTTGGCTGCTGTAGCTCAGTGGACTGAGCACAGGCTGTGAACCAAAAGGTCTCTGGTTTGGTTCCCAGTCAGGGCACACGCCTGGGTTGCAGGCCAGGTCCCCAGCAGGGGGCGCAGGAGAGGCAACCACACATGGATGTTTCCCTCTCTCCTTCCCTTCCCCTCTCTAAAAATTTAAAGTATTTAAAAAATGATGCTGGATTCATCTTAATTTTTAAAGCTGTGATAATGGTGAAATGCTTATGTAGAAAAATGTCTTAAGGCGTGAAGAATCACGATGTTTGTAACTCCTTTTCCAATGGTTCAGAAAAGTGGGCAAAACGTTAACAATTGTGAATCTAGGGTGAACAGTCAGCTGCTCATTTTATTCATGTTTTACTTTAACATTTAGCGCGGAGGGGGAAAAGCCAATTTGCCTACGGAAATGTCAATTAAAGATAATCAGTTTAGAAAGGTAACTTTACCACAGTGCAATTTACGGCCAGTTTCTTTTCACGACTGAGCGGTGACGTAGCAATACCGACGACAGGGACGACAGGGACCGGTTCTCACCGTTCTCACCGTTACAGTCGTTTACTGTCGCGCGGTGACCTGAGGTTTCCTGGGATATGGGCCACGTGACCCAGCCGCTCCTTCCGATTGGTGGAAGTGCAATGCTAACACTTCTGCTAAGTGTAAGGGGGAAGGAACAAGTGCTTTCTTTAACCAATCGCTTTTTTGTTATTTAGCTTCCAGATCACGTTTGGATGAATCTAAAGACGCCTGTAAAGTAGTAACATTAGTTGTATCTCTCATCGGAAGACTGGTTCTTCCTTTTTTTTTCCCCCGCCTGATTCCTTTTCGGATCGGCGCTGGTCAGGGCGAGGAAGGCCAGACGTCACTTCTGTGCGACGACTTTTGGTAGATCCGGTATGGGTCCCGGCAAGGATATCCTGTTTCCCGGATTCGTTGCGAGTTCCGTATCCGCCATAATGTCAGACACGGACAGCGATGAAGATTCCTCCGGGGGCGGCCCGTTTTCATTGACCGGTTTCCTTTTCGGCAACATCAATGGAGCCGGGCAGCTGGAGGGGGAAAGCGTCTTGGACGATGTGAGGGCGTGGGCTTTGGGATAGGGCTGGGAGTGGTGCGACCAAGGGTAAGGGGAGTGATGAGAGTAGAAAGCCGGGAAGAGAGGGCGCTGTTAGCATGAGATAAGATAGCATCTCAGAAGATCTTGCAGTTAAGTCAAGTGGCGGGCTCTGTTCCCGGCGAGGGTGGGGAGCAGAAAGAATGGTAAGCAAGTCCCGATAAGGTCAGGGGCGCTTGTGGGTGGCTTTGGAAATAACCCTTCTGATCTGGCAATAGGGGGAAAAATAGCGGTTTAAACGTTCTTGGGGGTTCTCGAAACTGTCTGCATTTCTGACATCGCTGCCCTGAGTTGGCTGTAGAGGTAGAGGATTGACCACAACCTGCAACAAATCCTGTGGTCCAGGTCCCACCCAGTTTTTAGAACAGTTAATATTCAAACCTCCTGGGGCAGACCTTTTCTCATCCCAAAGCACTTCTTAGGTAGTTTTCTCAGTGTTCCCTGACAGTCATGAAATTGTTTCCTGTGTGCCCAGCTGAAACTCACCTCCTTTCATTTAGGTTCATTTTCTCTTGGAGAAATATTGAGCAATACTGCTCCTTCACTGCAGCACACACAAACACACACATAAGGTAGCAAAAAATGTTCTTGCCTACTTTAATCCAATGTGACCTCAGTTGCCTTACCTTTTATTCATAGAACTGCTGTCCCATTTCTTTAGTCTTGGTGATGGTTCTTTGAATGATCTCACATTACTTTAGAGTATGGTGATGTAATTGCATATATGTTAATAAAGGTCTGATCAACGTGGAGTTTAGTGGAAGATTTACAGCCTTGAATGTGATGGATGATCCTTTTAGCATGTGGCATAGTCATTTTTCCTATGTATTTACAGCTCTGTGAATCGGGGAAATAAGCCTCGTTGTGTGGGAAGCTTGAGGTTAGTTGTTATCTTACACTGTGGCGCTGTCCATTTTTCAGGAGTGTAAGAAGCACTTGGCAGGCTTGGGGGCTTTGGGTCTCGGCAGCCTGATCACAGAACTCACCGCAAATGAAGAATTGACTGACAGTGATGGTGCTCTGGTAAATGATGAAGGTGAAGTGGGTCATGGAGAACAAGGTGGTGGGGGAGAAGGGGCGAGCTGCTAACTGTACATGTACTTTTTGATGGGAATTACTTCATGGCAGTTGCTTGCTCTGTGTTGACCTTTAATGCCCCCTTTTGTTTATAGGATGGATTAGGAGTACAGAAGATGCCGTGGACTATTCAGATATCAGTGAGGTAGCAGAAGATGAAAGTCGAAGATACCAGCAGACAGTGGGGAGCTTGCAGCCCCTTTGCCACTCAGGTGATTCTTTGGTGTTATCAACAGAGCATTCCAGTGCATTTTCTTGCTGTGTAGTTTGTTTCTAAGCATGCTTTCTGCCATTGTTCCTGCTCTCTGTGCTTCTCTCCCTTTCTTGAGCTCAGCTCTAGGAGCCACTGTCTTCTTTTGTGTTCTGAGGCAGAGTATGTGACCGTACTCAGGCTTTTTATTTCTTATGCTGGTTAGTCCCAAATTCTTGATGAATGCCAAATAAGGATGATAATGCTTTCTTCTCATCATTTGCTATTTTATTAGCTACAGCGTTCCTTGCGTTGTTTTAGATGCTGTTTAAACTCACTTTCTGTTTTCAAGGAATTGGTAGTTCAAGAAGGATTAAGTCTAGAATGTCATTTAAATGAGTGCATATATTTATTGGCTCAGCTGCTGTTAATCACTAAAACACCTGTATGGTAATACAATATACTTAATGCTTACAACATATATGAAGTGTTATAGAATCAGAATGTCAGAGTTGGAAAGGGTTTTAGTGATTATTTATTCTTAACCGTATCATAGAGTAGGAAAACTTAAAATTTAGAGAACTTTAATAAAATGTGAAACTTTGGCCCTGGCTGGTGCGGCTCAGTGGATTGAGCTCCTGCCTGCAAACCAGTTACTGGTTGATTCCCAGTCAGGGCACCTGCCTGGGTTGTGGGCCATGTCCCCAGTTGGGGGTGCATGAGAGGCAACCACACATTAATGTTTTTCTCCCTCTCTTTCTCCCTGCCTTCCCCTCTCTCTAAAAAATAAATAAAATCTTTAAAAAACATGGAACTTTGTCAAAAGTTCTGCAGTTAGATAGTGGCAATCCTTGACTAATTCAGCAACTCAGTTTATTAGACATTGGTTGAGTACTTGTTGTGTGCTATAAACTGTAATGCACAGTATGGTACAAAGATAGAAAAATCCATTTTCTGACCTTGAGGAGCTCCGTTCTGTGTTCTAGAATCTAGAAGTAATGGTCATAGTTGTTTATTTCCAAACCCCCACACTACCTCTTGCTGCTTGAAACTTTCCTGTGAAATTGCTCATTGTTTATTTATTGTCCACCTCTTTGAATTAGTATTCAGGCTGCTGAGAAATTTAGATAAAACCTTGGTAAGTTCTTGAACTTACTTTCTTCAGAGCCAATTAATGTTTTTTTTTTTTAAAGATTGTATTTATTTATTTTTAGAGAAGGGAAGGGAAGAGGAAGAGAGGGAGAGAAACATCAGTGTGTGGTTGCCTCTCATGCACCCCATGCACCCTTCACCAGGGGCCTGGCCTATAACCCAGGCATGTGCCTTATCTGGGAATCGAACCAGCAACCCTTTGGTTCTCAGGCCCTCACTCAATCCATCGAGCTACACCAGCCAGAGCCAGTTAATGGATTTGAGTGCTGCTTGTATAAAGAAAATTAAGTACATCACTTATACAAAAAGTAACACAGAAAAAATAGAAGACACAGGCCTTACCTTCAGGGATATTGTTACTATTTGGGGAAGGTGGGATACATGAATGCAAAGCAAAATTATTCATAGTAAGAAGACAAACCAGCTATAAACCGATGTTTCTTTATAGAGTGTTATACTTAGTTTTTGAGGGGCTGCCAGAACAGCTAAGTCAAATAGCATAATTGTTATTTTTCAGCACCATGACTTGGGCTAAGGGGCAGGTGGTAGCAGCTCTGATTTTCAGAGGATGTTGGGATTTTTCAGGTTTGGGTTTATTGTCTTAGCTAGGAATGGTAAGGAAGAGGGTGGGTGGGGGTTTCCTAGTTGGATTTTATGAGCTGACCTGGAAAGGATGATACTGTATTAGGTAGAGTCTCAGTACTCCAGGATGTTCTTTTTTTTAAGGTTTTATTTTTATTTATATACTGTTTTAAAGATTTGATTTATTTAATATTAGAGGGGAAGAGAGGGAGAGAAACAACAGTGTGTGACAGATACATCACTTGGTTGTCTCTCACACGCCCCTAAGTGGGGACCTGGCCTATAACCCATTAGGAATTGAACTGTTGACCACTCAGTTCTCAGGCTGGCATTTAATCCACTGAGTCAAATGAGCCAGGGCTGGGATGCTCTTTTCTAAGTTTCCTTGTCTTCTGAGGATGTCTTTATATATGCCCTTAGTTTCCTCCCTTCCTGGTATTGACCCTTTCGCACAGCTTGATTTACAAGGATGTTTCTTTGGAATAATTCAAGGTGGGTGGAGGTCCTTAGAAAAGGCTTCACGAAGGTGGATTTAAGTAAACTTTTGAAAGACATGGTTTAATGGAGAGGAAGCAGCAGGGTAATTTGGTTTGGAAAAATGGCTTGTCTAAATGTTTGAAAATAGTAATCAGCAAGTAGTGCGTGTGTGTGTGGGGGGGGGATGGAATTGACCAGCAGACTTTCTTGAAAGGGGTGGAAAACGTACTGCCAAATGGCAAGAACCAAGGATACAGCAATTTGATAGCACCTTTATGTATGTATTACTTAGGATGTGATGCCATAAAAGGATTGGGAACCAGCATAGATTGTTAAGTAAGACACAGGATGGTATAATGAAAAGAAAATGGACTTTGGTGGGGGGTGAGTGGAGGTAGAAGAGGATACAAGGGGGGTAAATGGTAATGGAAAAAATACAATTAAAAAAAAAAGAAAATGGACTTTGGAGTCAACATGTCATAGATTCAGATTCCAATTCCTTATTTAGTTTGGCCCTGGGAAACTTGCTCATTTCTGTGAGGTTTGGACTTTTGCTCACTTCTCTGAGGTTTGGACTTTTCATTTGTGATAAGCCCTCAATTTTCTTGTCTGCAATAAAGGTAATAATACCTATCCCCTTAATAGGGCTTTTTTGAGAACTTAAGTTCATTATCACATTATATGAAAGCACCTACATAATACAGTGTCACGGTAGATCTCTGGTAATGTTAGTTGCTCTCTTAAATGAAAGTGAAAAGTGATAGTCGATACTTTGGGGTTTTGATTATAAAAAGGGTAAACTTGGAGACTGTTCTTGCAAGCTTGATGTAAAGTTATCAAGGCCTAGAATAGAGTGACAGTAGTGGAAAATGACAGGCAATGTCAAACTTGGGAGTTGCTGATGAAGGATCAGTAGGACTTGGTGAGTGAAGAAGAGTGTTGGAAAGAGTATGGTCCTTGTTAAACCAGGCTTGAATTCTGATTGTCACTTAAAACTGTATGATCCTAAGTCGCTTAACTTCTATGTCAGAATAATTCTACATTGCTGCATTATTGGGAGGATTATAGATAAAATAGCTACAAATACCTGGCACATAATGGGAGCTCAATAAGTGGAAGTTGCTATAAGCACTATTGATAATTGATTGGAAAAGGTGTGTTGGGGGTAAGAGATTGATGAAAGAGACAAGAGACTAAGGTTATAAGCTGGGAAAATGAGGTTGGAGGTGGTACTGATAGTAACAAAAGGGATTTTAAAAGAGGTGAGGGATATTTTGATGTGATGAGAGGTGCAGTTGTTGAATATCTGAGTGGGAAGGTTGTTTAGACAGCAGAACATGCATTGCACTTGTAGAGCAGGTAAGGCAGGGCGAGACACAGATTTGGGTTAAATCTGGAAAAGGTGATTCTTGAGAAAAGGGAATGGAGAGTGTGTAGAAGAATAAAAGCAAAGTGTTCAGGAACAAGTATCGGGTGATGCTATTGGAAAAAATAACAAGTTGCACAGGATACACTGAAGAAAATGTGTCAAAGACTTGGGAGGTGAGAAGGGAGAAAGTCCTGTCTGGAAGGAAACTGACAGAATGTTAAATGCAACTATGAGATTGAGCAGGGTGAAAACAAAAAATAAACTAGGGCTTGATCGGGAGAAGGAGCAAAGATTTTAAGCAGTCCTGGTGTGCTCCCTCAGTTCCTGTGTGAGGTATACATAGTGTTGCAGCATTTGGCAGTACCATGACATCATCTCTTTCTGAAGGTAGAAGCTGCATCTCTTGTGTGTCCTTAAAGGATTTGCCTAGTGCTTCCTGTGGTACTTGAAATTCTTGAGTGACAAGGCAGTTCAAGGCTGTTTGACATTCTGGATATTGAGGAGATCGTCTTCTTGGTTTTAGTAGATTATGATGATGATGACTATGATGCTGATTGTGAAGACATTGATTGCAAGTTGATGCCTCCTCCACCCCCACCCCCAGGACCATTAAAGAAGGATATGGACCAGGATGCTATTACTGGTGGTAAGCAGCGACTGTCTACTTTTGTCTGAGGAGGAAGTTCCATTCTTAAGTCTAGGCTTTTGGCATGCAATACATAAGAGGTATTAAAATTAAGCTGTTGGAAAAGGCTATAATTCCCAGGAGTGATTCTTAACAATTTTCAAATTTCTGTATTAAAGGGAAGTTTTGCTTTTGAAACATTTCACAGCAGTATTTTAGCTTGTACTCAAGAAAACGTTTGGGTCAGTGGTTCTTAAATCTGGCTACTCATCAGAATTACCTCAAGTCTTTAAAAAATACAGATTTCTGACTCTTACCCCTGGAAAGTGTGATTCAGAAGATAGTGAGTAGACACCCGGAATTTCAGAGCATTCCCCAGGTAATTTTTGAAGCAGCTCATCTGCATACTGGTATTTGGAAGCTACCTGTTTAGAGGATTGTCTTGAAAAGAAATGGTTACATAGGGAAGGCACTTGTAGAATGTGTGTAAGTCATGTCGAGTCAACTACCAGAATCAGAGATTTCAAAGGCAGGGTCTTCAGGGATCATCTTAATCTATTTCTACGTCTCCAACAGTAGATTGGGAAGAGGTTTGATCCTCCTTTGATCCCAAAGTACAGGTTTTGACCCTCCTGTATTTTGAGGCTTGTGTTAACCTAAATTCCTCCTGTTAGAGCATTAAGTCATTTCCTTTTTAGTCTGCAGTCTAAATAGTATCAGTTAACTTTATGTCATAGATCTTATCTTATGCTAAATAATTTCATTATTTTGTGAGCTTAAAATTCTCCAGCCTATGGGTTCCAAAACCAGACATGATGAGGCCTGACTGGTGTAAAAGTGTTATATAATTTTGCCATTTGTCATATTCCTGTAACCTGACATATTTACGGAAAGTAGTAAATGTAGTAATAGTGTTTGTTTTCTCTCATCACTACCCTAGGGTACCAGGTACAAGGTGAGTTGGGGATGATGGGAGATACTGAGTTGGAATGAATTTTCTGGGTTGCATAATACTAGTAACCTGGGTGCTTGGAACTATATCCCCTGCCATTGAGCCATGCATATTGCCTGGACTGGGTGTTGGCTGAATTTGAGGAATATGCTCACAGTTACATGCCAAGGGGGTTTTTCTTCCTTGTTGCAGTGTCTGAAGATGGAGAAGGCATCATCTTGCCCTCCATCATTGCCCCTTCCTCTTTGGCCTCAGACAAAGTGGACTTCAGTAGTTCCTCTGACTCAGAATCTGAGATGGGACCTCAGGAAGCAACACAGGCAGAAACTGAGGATGGAAAGCTGACCCTACCACTGGCTGGGATTATGCAGCATGATGCCACCAAGCTGTTGCCGAGTGTCACAGAACTTTTCCCAGAATTTCGGCCTGGGAAGGTAATGTTCTATGCAGAATACCTCTGTTGAAAACCACTGACCTATTCTAAATACTGAGTTCTGTTGTTAAAATGCTGAATTAAGATTTCAAGTTTTCCTTATTTAATTACTTTGTATCAGGTCTTTTTAAAAGAGCTTACTTATTTTTGTTCTTAGAAAAGGAAGGGAGAAAGAGAGGGAGAGAAACATCGATGTAGGAGAGATGCATTGATTAAAAAAAACAGAGAGAAGCCCTGGCTGGTGTAGCTCAGTGGGTTGAGTATGGGCTGCGAACCAAAGCATCGCAGGTTCAATTCCCAGTCAGGGCACATGCCTGGGTTGCGGGCCAGGTTCCCAGTGGGGGCCACATGAGAAGCAACCACACATTGGTGTTTCTCTCTCCCTCTTTCTTTCTCCCTCCCTTCCTGTCTCTAAAAATAAATCAATAAAGTATTAAAAGAGAGAGAGGGAGAGAGATACATTGATAGGTTGCCTCTTGCACGCCCCCAGCTGGGGGTCTTGCCTGCAACCCAGGCATGTGCCCTAGACTGGAATCGAACCAGCGACCCTTTGGTTCTCGGGCTGGCACTCAGTCCACTGAGCCACACCAGCGAGGGCTGTGTCAAGTCTTTTTTAAAAGTTGTATACGTTGTAGGCCATGTGATTTGTATAGTTCTCATTATAAACTGTCTTTGTTGTCTTAAAAGAACTACTACAAACTATTGAGAGATTTTTTTGACCTTTTGGATAGATGTTTATAAATCTGAAATCGGCACCCTTTGATCCCTCCCTGCCAGTTGAGTAGACCCCTCAGGGGAATTTTCAGACCCAGATGCCGCTGTTTTTCTAGCAGACATTGAGTCTCTGACACAGTAACACGTTCTGTGTTCTAGGTGTTACGCTTCCTACGTCTTTTTGGACCAGGGAAGAATGTTCCATCCGTTTGGCGCAGTGCTCGAAGAAAAAGGAAAAAGAAACACCGGGAGCTGATACAGGAAGAGCAGCTCCAGGAGGTGGAGTGTTCAGTAGAATCAGAAGTCAACCACAAGTCTTTGTGGAACTACGACTATGCTCCACCACCACCTCCAGAGCAGTGTCTCTCTGACGATGAAGTAGGCAAAATAGAGACCTGGGAGGAAGACCTGGGCGGGACGGGGGCAGATGAGGCCTTCCTAGCTTATGTCTAAGTTGGAAATAGCAGGCAGAGTCCTGTGTTGATTATCAGTGAGTAACCATGAGTTCAATCCCAGTGGCCTTCCCTTCTCTTTTGTGCAATAATAGGAAAGCATTGGGGGCAGGCAGGTGGTAATATACACACTAGTGAATAAGAAAGTTTGAATGATAGGAAGCGTGCCATGATGTGCCTTCCTTGTTTGTATTCTAACTCCAGTGCAGTTCAGGGATTATCCTTCTAGCTCCTCCAGGTTCTCCCCCTGCCTATTAGTAGCCTACATCTGGGACCAGGAGGTCCTTCTCCACTTCTACTTCTTTGCTCTGTTGCAGATTACAATGATGGCTCCTGTGGAGTCCAAGTTTTCCCAGTCAACTGGAGATATAGATAAAGTGACAGATACCAAACCAAGAGTGGCTGAGTGGCGGTATGGGCCTGCCCGACTGTGGTATGATATGCTGGGTGTCCCTGAAGATGGCAGTGGGTTTGACTATGGCTTCAAACTGAAAAAGGTGGAACCTGAACCTGTGATAAATGGTAGAACGATGGAGGTAAGCAGCCCTGGTGTGTAAGAGAAAAGAATCAGTGTGCCCAGGACCCTATCAGTTTTACTTTAGTTTTCAATTAGGCACATGCTGGGTAGGATTTCTTTGGTGGGAGATGTAGGTGTCTAAGCCTTTTGCTTGGTGTGGCATATTACCCTGGTGACTAGGTCCCATTGCAAGGATTCTGTTTTTGAAATGAGTGCTGTGCTAGACTAGGAGTGGGAACTCCGTTATCAGGTTTTTCTCTCGAGTCAGGGACCGCATTTGATGTATCTGGTGTGGGATTTGGAGTGGGGACTTCGACCAGCGACCATTCAGGGATTTGTTGTTCTTTCCCTACTTCTGCAAGGACTTGAAGAAACCTGGGGAAAATGGTGGCATCGATCTCCTGGCTGATGAAAACTTCCTGATGGTGACACAGTTGCACTGGGAGGACGATATCATCTGGGATGGGGAGGACGTCAAACACAAAGGGACAAAACCTCAGCGTGCAAGCCTGGCAGGCTGGCTTCCTTCCAGCATGACTAGGAATGCCATGGCTTATAATGTTCAGCAAGGTATGCCTCTGTGCCGGCTGTGTCCAGCACTGCCCTTCATCTCAGCAACCCTAAGTGGGCTTAGCTGTGATCTTTGCTGCTGCTGAGAGACACCAAAATATTTGGGACGTGAGCCCTGATTCTAGTCCGTAATAGTTTTTTTTACACTGTTAACAAGCCAGGATTGGACTCTGATTTTTCATTAGAAAAAGGTGAAAACCACTGTGAGGTTAAAGATCTTTCTGAACTATAACAGTGCTTTATCTTTGTAGTCTTTTCGTTTTCAAATCCCCTTTGTCATTATCATTCTAGAATTTGCGTTTTCGCTCCTGAAATATGCACACCAAAAAGGCATGCTATGTAGAAAACTTTGAAAATGCAATAATACAGTATCAAAAATCACTGGTAATCCTATCCAGAGATGATCATCACCTTTTACTTTTTGGCGTATTTTTGTTTTCAATTTTCTGTCTCCTGTGTGTATGTGTAGATGAGCTCTTCTCTATAGGTACAGTTTGTATAGTGTATTTTTCTCAATATAAATATTCTGTGTCAGGGTTCTTCATAAAAGTATTTAATGACATGGGAAGCTTATTCTAAATGGAAATAAAGGTATGAAGTAGCATCTTTAATATCCTGTTTGTGCAAGTGAGAAAAACACACTATATAAACATAGAAAACTGACTAAAAGAAAATATACTATAGGGTTTAAAGTGGTTGTTTCTGGTTTGTAAATCACAAACCTCAGTTTTCTTCTTCTTTTTGTTTTATTCTATTGCAGTTGTCCCAATTTCCCCCCCATTGCTCTCCCCTGCCCTGCCTACCACCCACTCCCACAGTCAGTCTCCACCCTGTTGTCCATGTCCATGGGTCATTTATACTTGTTCTTTAACTAGGCCCTATCCCTTTACTTTTCTCTGTTTTCCAAATTTTTCTCAGTTAACCTGGATTACTTTTACAATTTGGAGAAAAAAACAAAATGTCTTATTTTTAAATCTAAGAAATAGTTGTTTCCTTCTTCCCATTTTATCTAAATGCTTTATTAGTTGTATAATATTCTTACATGGATATGTTTATAATTTATCAGTTATATTTCTGATATATTTACTACCATCATTAGCATAGTTTACCATATCATTTATTGCCATAATTTAACCAGTCCCTTATTAAGCATTTGGCCATTCGTATTTTGACTATTGCAAACAAATACTGCAGTGAACATTTTGTCTGCAGCATTTTATTAAAAGGACACATACGCAACATGTATTAGGTTCCTTTTCAGTGAGTGAGTAACTTTTCAGTCACGTGATTAACTCTACTAACATTTGCTCCTTTTCCCTCTGCTAGAATCATGATTGGAATGAGCATAAATGTTTTGTCTGTTGTCAAGTGTTTCTTCTTTCTGTTTTGACTAGGTTTTACGGCCACGCTGGATGATGACAAGCCTTGGTACTCCATTTTTCCCATTGACAACGAGGATCTGGTGTATGGACGCTGGGAGGACAATATCATCTGGGATGCTCAGGCCATGCCCCGGCTCTTGGAGCCTCCTGTCTTGACACTTGATCCCAATGATGAGAACCTCATTTTGGGTATGGTACTGGCAGGGGCAAGTGTTACTCCTCCATGATCAACATATTGTAGCTAATGTCAGGGAGCTGGAAGAAATCAGAAGGGTTGAGAAGGTCAAGACTAGAAGCTTCTAGGTGGCAGTTTGAGAGAGCAAAGTTGTGGTCAGTTTCCAGTATTTATGTATTGTCTAGGGAAAATGCACATTGTAGGAATGTTGAAAAGTGGTACCTTTGAGATGTCAGGAGTATAGTTTGTTTGGGAAGGGTGAATCATGGAGTAGAATTGCTCTGGGGTGGCATGAGAGGTCTTGTTCAGAACGGCAAAGTTGTCAGTAGGAAAGGTGACTCTTAAGGTGAACTCCAGAGTGACTTTTGTTTCATCCTCAGAAATTCCTGATGAGAAGGAAGAGGCCACCTCTAACTCCCCCTCTAAGGAGAGTAAAAAGGAATCATCTCTGAAGAAGAGTCGAATTCTCTTAGGGAAAACAGGGGTGATCAAGGAGGAACCACAGCAGGTCTGTGAAGGGAAAGGGGTCTTAGTGTTTAGAAGAACAAAGAAAGGTAATAGGGCAGGGAAGTCTGACTAAGGTTTCTTTGATGACCTGTCATTAGAACATGTCTCAGCCAGAAGTAAAAGATCCATGGAATCTCTCCAACGATGAATATTACTACCCCAAGCAACAGGGTCTTCGAGGCACCTTTGGAGGAAATATTATCCAGGTAAAAACATTTTTTTTCTGTGATAGATGGCAACCACTGCTTTGTTCTGATGGAGGGTGTGGGTGAATCTTGCCTAGGCTGGAGTTAGTATTGTATTTCATTGGGATCCTTTTCTTTTCTGTCTTAGCACTCCATTCCTGCCGTGGAATTGCGGCAGCCCTTCTTCCCCACCCACATGGGGCCCATCAAACTCCGGCAGTTCCATCGCCCGCCTCTGAAGAAGTACTCCTTTGGCGCATTGTCTCAGCCAGGTCCCCACTCAGTCCAGCCTTTGCTAAAGCACATAAAAAAGAAGGCTAAGGTATGACTGAATCCTGGTTAGAAAATAAACAGCTATGAAAGTTCACATTAAAGGATAAATGGGGGAAATGGACTGGACATTAGATGATGCTAGGGAATTATTGTTTATTTTTGCACATACGATAGAATGTCATTGTGGGTATTTAGGGGAGTGTCCCTATTCTTAGGAGAGATGCATGTGAAAATACTTAAGTGTGTAATGGAAATACCATGATGACTGCAGCTTTCAAAAATGGTTCAGCAACATCTATAGAGACGTAGTCATAGGGAAAACATAGGAAAGATTGTACACATTTGTACCTAGGATGTGGGATAACAAATGTTCATATGTTTGAAGAATTTTGCAATGAAATTGAAAAAAGGCAAGATGAAATTGTTTTCAGTGTCATTGTCTCAGCATGAACATCATTAATATATATAGTTATTGTTTTATCAGGAGCTAGATGGTATTCTCTTTGTTCTGGCAGATGAGAGAACAAGAGAGGCAAGCTTCAGGTGGCGGAGAGATGTTTTTCATGCGCACACCTCAGGACCTCACGGGCAAAGATGGAGATCTTATTCTAGCAGAATACAGTGAGGAAAACGGGCCGTTAATGATGCAGGTTGGCATGGCAACCAAGATAAAAAACTATTATAAGCGGGTAAGTCTCTGCTCAGAAAATGTCTTCTCAGAAAATCTCTGTTAATATAGCTGTAGTTAGACAAACAGTGATAATCTGCCACCTTGTATTTTGTCTTTTTTATACTATAAATTTCTTGGGAGAAAGAAATGGCATCTTTCTTGTAGTTTGTAATATTAGTAAAATACTGTGGTCATGGAATATTTTGTGCAGGCATATTGATTATATTCTGTGGTAGTAACTGAGTCTGCTGTGTTCCTTATAGAAACCTGGAAAAGATCCCGGAGCCCCAGATTGTAAATATGGAGAAACTGTTTACTGCCATACATCTCCTTTCCTGGGCTCTCTCCATCCTGGCCAGTTGCTACAGGTGAGGAATTCTCCCCAGTTATAATAACGCCTTCTTAAGGGAATTGACATTGAATAGCCAGTTAGCTCAGAAAGGCCCAATTCTAGTTGATTGAGAAACTATGCATACATGAAGTACAGGGAAGATCAATAGAACCCAATTTTCTTGACCTTTTTAAAATAGCAGCTGTTATTTATGTTATTCATAAGCTTAGTTAAAAATAGTTTTTTGAAAATACACCCTGGGTAAGAAGTCCAGAAGTGTCTGGGTGGCACAGGGGAGTCAACTTTGGATGATAAGTTACTATAGTTCATTTTGATTTCTAGGTGTAAAATTGGTATGTTTCGATTGTATTAGTTGTCATTTTGAATATTGAACCACACCTGGCCCTGATAGTCCCCAGCGACAGTCAAGAGTTGTTTTCTTAACCCCCTCTTTGTGCTCGTTGATGTAGAGACGCCCTCTGGTAGCCTGGCTTTCGCATATTTTGTGAAGGGGAAGTACAGAGGTCCGCAACTGATGTGAGGAAATCGTTAGTACTTTCCTACCTTTTTTCCTCCACTCCATTTTTCTTAACCACTTCCCCACTCTTACACTGAGTTTGATTCATTATTACTGTCACTCATTCTCCTAAAGCATCTGCCAAGCCTTTTTTTCTTTATCCTTTACATCTACAGTCCACTTCCCCACCATATTTTAGGTATTATTTTTGTATTGTTCCTGGCATTCTTGCCCTTGACTTCCTTTTGAGGTTTTCCACCAATCTATCCCCTTCATTTGTAGTCCCTTAAAGATCCTTTTTTAAATCTTCTGTAACTGTTTGCTCTCTCTACTTTTCACATTGAGAATTTTCTTTTCACACCCATTTACTGAAGATCTTTCATCTTCCTGTCCACTTTTCTGATTTTCTGTTAAGCCTCTCCTTGGAATCACAGGCTTCCTGTGACAGGAGATCCCCATCTGGCTGCTACTTAAGCTCGAATGTTTTTGTCTTGTGTGTTTAATGTCTTCTCTAGCACACTGTCTACTTCATTAGTTTTTTTTTTTAAATTAATTTATTTAACCAATGCTTTGCTCTCTCCTGTATTACGTCAGGACCTGTTCTGGCATCTCGGGTAGCTAGTATAGTGCTTGTTTGTTTTTAAAGTGATTTTCGTATATAAATTTTATAGCAATCCTGTGAGGTGTTAGGCATTTTAAGTATCTCAGTTTTGTGTATAAGGAAATTTAAGCTCAGAGAATTTAACTAATCTGATGTCATATAGTGAGTAGCAGCAGAGCAGTCAGTGTCATTTGAATCCAAATCCTTTAGTTTCCTCACTACTGACTCTTAAAAATAGCCAGTGGGGAAAAATTACCTGTCTAGTCCCATTTGATATTCTATATTATAATTTGTAATAATACTGGATAGATGGCATAATGGCGCTGGACAGCAAGTTAGCGTGATTTACCTGTATCATTAGTTGACTAAATTTCCTAGGGTGTCTCTTTATACTACTTTTGTGTTTTTACTTTCTTTAGGCATTTGAGAACAATCTTTTTCGTGCCCCAATTTATCTTCATAAGATGCCAGAAACTGATTTCCTTATTATTCGGACAAGGCAAGGTTACTATATTCGAGAATTAGTGGATATCTTTGTGGTTGGCCAGCAGTGCCCCTTGTTTGAAGTTCCTGGGCCCAACTCCAAAAGGGCCAATACGCATATTCGAGACTTTCTCCAGGTAAGAAGGAGGGGATCAGGATACACGTAAAAGGGTGTATGTATTTGGGGGCACATCGAGAAAGATCAAAACACATAGAGGGTTAGCAGGGGAAGGGGCCCTGGTGATGTCTATCCTTTATTTTGCCACATAAAAAAAAACTTTTTGGTTTGTTGGGCAGGTTTTTATTTACCGCCTCTTCTGGAAGAGTGCAGATCGGCCACGCCGGATCCGGATGGAAGATATTAAAAAAGCCTTTCCTTCTCATTCAGAAAGCAGCATCCGGAAGAGGCTAAAGCTCTGCGCCGACTTCAAACGCACAGGTCATCAGTCGTGACTAGTTATTTGTCTTTTCTGCCTCTTTCCAAGAAAGGAATTACGGCTTTCAGTTAAAGGATAAGCATACAGCTAATAAAGTAGAAATGGGAATTGATAATAATCAAAAGGAAGGGGTAGAAAATCTTTCATTTAGGGAAGCTCTGATTGCTTTTTGATTTTGCCTGCCAAGAAATTCAGTGTGGTTGGTGGATGTCTTATGTGAGATGTAGGAAACCTAGCAGCAGGGTTTTCCTGGCTAGTCAGGCTAGCTGTGGCTAGGCTTGGTACCTCCTAGGACACTGCCTGGTTCGGTCTTGGCTTGCTATCCCTGTTGCTGTCAGTAAAAGGGCCCTTGGAATTAAGAACAGTCTCATTCTCTCTGTCTCTTTTCTAGGAATGGATTCAAATTGGTGGGTGCTGAAGTCTGATTTCCGTTTACCAACCGAAGAGGAGATCAGAGCTATGGTATCTCCAGAGCAGTGCTGTGCTTATTACAGCATGATAGCTGCAGAGCAGCGACTGAAGGTGAGCCGCTTCCATTTGGGTACTGCCTACGCCTGTGAGTTTTTTTCAGAGAGACAGGACAAAGCTTGTTCTCACTGGTTTAGAAATGATGGTTACTAGATTATTGCCAGTTGTTTGAAAATTCTAGCTATACGAAGTACATCGGTTCTGGGGAAAACTACAGTGTAGCTAAATATCAGTGGAAAGGCTTAATGAGGGACTTAGGAGATATTATTTTGCCTTGAAAATGGTTGCTCATCCATTGGGTGGTGACTTTACATTCTGTTCTTTACAAGACAGGTATGTAAACAGGGAAAGTATTTCTTGGTTGTTTTCCACAGCTTTCCAGGTGGGCAGAGATGATGATGATGCTGCACATGTGGTTGAAAGAAGCACAATATCTTTACAAGGCCAGAATATGGAAGATCTAGCTAGGGTGAGATAGTACAACTCTGTACCACTGAGTTAATGAGCATTTCTATTTAGCTTGCTGTATCTTCTGATAACCTAAGGATGTAGAATGGTGATAAATACAGCAAAGTTTTTACAAAGTTCATAATGTGTGCAAAATGTGTTTTGATATTCTATACTTGGTATTCAGTGAAACTTGTGCTTTGTGTTTTCTAATTTATTGACTTATGGATGGACTTGTCTTCTGCCAGGATGCTGGCTATGGCGAGAAGTCCTTTTTTGCTCCAGAAGAAGAAAATGAGGAAGATTTCCAGATGAAGATTGATGATGAGGTAATGCTGTGCACTCATTTTTGTTAGTATACCCCATTTATCTTTTTAAAAAACATCTTTATTGCAATGTGATTGACATAGAATAAGCAGCACATATTTAAAAGGTACTATTTGGTATATTTTGATACATGTTTGTACCTGTGAAATCCTCTTGACAAGATAATAAGCGTATCTGTCACTCCCAAAAGTTTCTTAGTGCCCCTTTGAAATTCTTTTCTCTACCCTCCCTGTCTCCTGACAACTGCTGATCTGCTTTCTGTCACTATAGGTTAGTTTTCGTTTTCTAGAATTTTAGATTAATGGAATCATATAGTATGCACTCTTTCTTCGTTTTAATTGTGGTAAAATATACATAATATAAAATTTACCATCTTAGTCTTTAAGTGTATGGTTCAGTAGTGTTAGTACATTCACATTGTTGTACATCCAGTCTCTAAAACTCTTCACCTTGTAAAGCTGGCACTCTAGTATCCATTAAATGATATCTCCCCGGTCCTGCCTTCTCCAGCCCCTGGCAACCACCATTCTACTTTCTGTCTCAATGAATGTTACTACTCTAGGTGCTTCACCAAAGTGGAATCATATCCTATTTGTTTTTGTGTGACTGTTTTATTTCCTGTAGCATTAGCATTCTTAAGATTTGTCCATGTTGTAATGTGTCAGAATTTTCTTCCTTTTTTAAGGCTCAATAATATTCCATTGTTTGTTTGTTTATTCGTCCACTGATGGACGACGGGCATTTTCATCCCTTAGCTGTTGTGAATAGTGCTGTAACGAACATGGGTGTGCAGATACCTGTTTAAGACCTGCTTTCAGTTCTTTAGCATATAGTCCCCAAAGTGGGATTACTGGATCATGTTGTAGTTCTATTTTTAGTTTTTTTGAGGAACATCAATACTGTTTTCCAAAGCAGCTGCATCATTGTACATTCCTATCAATAGTATATGAGAGTTTCCGTTATTTCATACTTTTGCCAGCGCTTGTTACTGTTTCTTTTAAAGATTTTATTTATTTATTTAGAGGGGAAGGGAAGGAGAAAGAGAGGGAAAGAAACATCCATGTGTGGTTGCCCCTCACGTGTCCCCTACTGGGGACCTGGCCCGCAACCCAGGCATGTGCCCTGACTGAGAATCGAACTGGCAATCCTTTGGTTCGCAGGCCTGCGCTCAATCCACTGAGCTACACCAGCCAGGGCTATTTATTGGTTTTTTGATAGTAGTCATCCTAATAGATATGAAGTGGTATCTCATTGTGGTTTTGATTTGCATTGCCCCAATGACTAGTGATAATGAGCATCTTTTCATGTGCTTGTTGGCCATTTGTATGTCTTCTTGTAAGAAGTGTCTATTGAAGTCCTTGGCCCATTTTCAAATTGGGTTGTTTGTTTTCTGTTGTTGAGTTGTAGAAGTTCTCTGTATGTTTTGAATATTAACCTCTCAGATGTTACGCAAATATTTCCTTCCATTCTGTAGGTTGCCTTTTCACTCTCCTGTGTCCGTTGATGCAGAGATGTTTTTCACTTGGATGTAGCCCAGTTTATCTAATTTTACTTTTGTTGCTTGTGCTTTTGGCTCCACGTCCAGGAAGTCATTGCCAAATCCAGTGTCATGAAGATTTTCCTCTGTGTTTTCTTTTAAGAGTTTTGTATTTTTAGGTCTTATGTTTAGTTCTTTGATCCATTTTGAGTTAATTTCTTTATATGTTGTAAGGTGAAGGTTCAATTTCATTATTTTGCATATGGATATTCTATTTCCCCAGCACCATTTGTTGAAAGTATGTATTCTTTCTTGTCTGTGTTCTTTAAATCTGCAATTATGCTGAAATTCATGCAAGTTGTGTGTATGGATAGTTTTATTGTTTTAGATCTTATGTTTAGATCCATTTTGAGTTAATTTTTGTGTAGGGTGCATGGTACAGATTAAGGTTCTTTTTTTCTATATGAATGAATGTCCAATTATTCTAGAACCATTTGTTACAAAGTTGAATGATTTTTTTAAAAGAAAAATTTGATCATACCACTGTTTTGGCCCAAAGACACCCTTTGGGTCCTTATTTCTTTGAGGAAGAAGCCCTTAACATTTACAAGGATCTACATGATTTAGGTCTTGTATATAACCCTAACCTCCTCTCATCTGCTGTCGTTGCCCATCTTGTACGCTAAGCTGCAAACATACTAACACTCAATCAATTCCCTAAGTTTCTTTCTGTTGCCTTTCAGGATTTTGTAACTGCTATTCCGTCTGCCTAGAATATTTTCTCTCCACTCTTCTACCATCTGACCTTCCTCTACAAGTTATATTCTCTTAGCTTTTCCCTGACTCTTGCCCTCACTCTCACCCTTCATTCAGATTGGATCATCATCCTTCTTGTCTTTATGTACGTATAGGACTTTGTTCTCTCCTATCATGGCGCCCTGATCATGCAGTGTTGAATTTGCTTGGTTGGTTGTCTCTTTTGCTCACTAATATGAGGTCCATGAAAAAGGAGTGCTGGCATGTGGTAGATACTCAGTCAGTCACTCAATAAGTGAGTGAATGATTGTAAACGAGGTCAGACAGAGTGAGTAAAGAACCACTGGTGTACCCTTCTTTTGAGGTTGGAGTGAGAAATGATTGGATGTCTAAGAATTTTGGAAATTAGGGAGTCTGTTTGAATGGCCTTCAAGATTGAATCTTGAACCTAGGGAATTGGTCGCTTTCTGGCTAATCATGTGTACTCTTGACTGACCTTGTCTTAATTCCCTGATTATTTTATGGGGTTGGTAAACACTATTTAGGGTCTCAAGAGAGGAGGCCTTTGTTACCACATCAGTGGCAGAGGTAGAATTGACTTTGGTTTAGTGCTGCCGGGGTTGGGGTCAGTGCTTTGTAAAGCACGCTTATCATCTAATTATGAGACTGTACAGGCCATTCTAAAGCCATTTGAGCAATTGAACAATCAGATGTAGTCATCAGTCTACCTCACCTCTTTGCACATCCCGAGGTTGCAGACAACACTGTCTGAAAACTCTGTTAAGCCCAAGGGATATGGGGGAAGAGGCATCACTATTCCACATATTCCTCCTCACGCTGTCTGAGAACTTGACCTTTATTTAATAACCTGATTTAAGTACCATAGGGAAGAAGAACAGCAAGCTGAGTACTGGGTAGCTTTCTGTAACCATTGAACTTTGTGGACAGTTTAAGAAAGAATCCAGTTGTACGTTGTTGTAATCATTCCAGCCGTCTAAGTGTGGCTAGACATAGAGCGAAGTTTCCCATAACCTTTAGGATCTTTTTTTCTACCTCAGGTTCGCACTGCTCCTTGGAATACCACAAGGGCCTTCATTGCTGCCATGAAGGGCAAGTGTCTCTTGGAGGTGACTGGGGTGGCAGATCCCACAGGGTGCGGTGAAGGATTTTCCTATGTGAAGATTCCGAACAAACCAACACAGCAGAAGGTGAGACTGTCTGAATTTCTAGAAGGTGAAAATCAAGGGAGGAAGAAACGGAGGTTGAATGGTGGAGATGAATGGGATAGAGGATCTGGAAAGCAGTTGAGGTGACAGGATGAATTTAGGGTAGACATCTATTATAAGAAGCTAAACTTCCTGGGATTCTTACCTGTTTTATTTTGTTTTGGGGGTAGGATGATAAGGAGCCTCAGCCAGTCAAGAAGACAGTGACAGGAACGGATGCAGACCTTCGTCGCCTCTCTCTGAAAAATGCCAAGCAACTTCTACGTAAATTTGGTGTGCCTGAGGAAGAGGTGGGTGTGGAAGAGGAAAACTTAAAGGCTCCTCGGGGCTTTGTATAAAGAGGGAACAGCTGGGAGGCAGATGTAAGGAACTATCTGAAGAATTTCATGGTGTAAATTGTAGCACACTGGATCTTGAATACTTACTTTTTCAAAAGGAGTTAGCTTTCCCAGAGTTTTCTGCTTAACCTGCTTTGGGTGAATTTTTTTTTTTTTTTTGTTTTTGTCTACCTCTCTGTGCCCTTTGGTTTCTTCTTTGAGATCCCTGGATGATTTGTGTACGTGTGTGTATGTGCATGTCTCTGTCTCGTAGATTAAAAAGTTGTCCCGCTGGGAAGTGATCGATGTGGTACGCACGATGTCAACAGAACAGGCCCGCTCTGGGGAAGGGCCCATGAGTAAATTTGCCCGTGGATCAAGGTTCTCTGTGGCTGAGCATCAGGAACGGTACAAAGAGGAATGTCAGCGCATCTTTGACCTGCAGAACAAGTACGTTCTTGTAGTGTTGCAGAAAGTCCAAGCTGGAAGGAGGGGTGGGGTCCCAGACACTATTTTATAATGAACAAGAGGTCAGCCAATAATTTGATTTAGGTAGTCGGGTATCTAGATTTCAGGGTGGTATCTGTTCATAATACTGCTAGAGTACCTACTCCCTTCAAAGCAACTTGGCAGAGGTTTTGAATGGCAGGAGGTGCTAGGTTTGCACTTCGGTTCCATGGCAACTGTTGTGGTCTGCTTGGACCTGGGAACCACCACAATGGTGCTAAGGGACAGGTGTGTTTTTTCTGAAGGCTTACTGGTGAGAGAATGGTGATGCCCTGTTAATAATGAGCAATGTGTTGGTTTGTTTCTCAGGCTTTCCCAGGGATTCTGAATATGAAGCGCTGTACTACATGTTTCAAACTTGCCTTGTTAACTGAATGTCTAGGAAAACTTTGTAAAGCTTTTCTGTTAGGGTCCCATGTCTTACGGATTTTGAGTATTCCTTCTTAAAGTTGATTTTCCAATTTCCCACTCTTGCCTAAAACCGTATTATGTTGAGCTTTTTCCTATTTCCCCTTGTCTTAGTTTAACATTGTTTTCCTCTTTTTAGGGTTTTGTCATCAACTGAAGTCTTATCAACTGACACAGATAGCAGCTCAGCTGAAGACAGTGACTTTGAAGAAATGGGAAAGAACATTGAGAATATGTTGCAGAATAAGAAAACCAGCTCTCAGCTGTCACGCGAACGGGAGGAGCAGGAGCGGAAGGAACTACAGCGGATGCTACTGGGTGAGACTAGTGGCTTCATAGACAGACAGGCAAAAAAGAGGAGGATTTAAAAAGTATAAACTCCACACTAATAACTGAGGAGAAGATCCATGACTTTCAGAAGATTCTCAAAGGAGCCTTAGACCCTAAAAAAGGGTTTAAAATAACGAATCAAAAATTGTAGAAGGGTAAAAGGGTGGGGGGGGGTGATGAATTTCTGGATTGGTTTGGGATATGGATATTGGGAATGAAAAAAGAACAAAAAACCAAGGTGACCTTAAAGATCATTCTGGGCTTGCTAGAAAGATGGTGATACCATTGATTAAAGTAGTAAGTTTTAAAGCAAGAAACAGTATTATGAAGGGAAGGTGCAATGTGTGGAATTTGAAGTTCCCATAAGCCTTCCCAGTATGTGTGTCAAACGTGCAATTGAAAACATGGATGTAGATGCTGAGAGGATAAAGTCTGAAGATGGTTTAAATGACTATTCTCACTCATAGAGTCTTCCATTTGTTTCCTTCTCTCTGTAAAAACTTTGTGTAATTTTATTATTCTGATTACTTTGTAAAGATGTGATAAAGCTTTTTTACCAGTGCGGTCCTGGACCAGCAGTGTCTACATCACATGAGAGCTTGTTATAAATGCAGGAGCTCAGGCTTCCCAAATCTACTGAATTAGAATCTGTAGTTTAACGAGATCCCAAGTGATTCTTATTCATTCACATTAAAGTTTGAGAAGCATACGCTGGCCTTAAGACTCAATTTGTTTCTGTGGTCCTGTTTTTCCCTCTGGGTGCTTGGGTGTTTTTCTTTAATGTGCTGATCCTCCACTTCCTGCTTGGACTTTGCTTGCGCTGTTGCTCAGAGGAGTCAATGCAGCTACTGCTCTTCTGTCCCCTCTAATAAACATGCAATTCTTTGAGATCCTTCCCGAACTTTATGCTTATCAAACTGGGAACATTGGCAGTGGTACAGTGAAGTCAGGAAAGGACAAAGCAGTGTATTTGGGGGTGGGGGTGGGGGTGGGGGTGGGGGTGGGGACTCACCTTTCTGTTAGAACCGTAGCTTTGTGGCATGTTCAGCTTCAAGGTTTTCACTCAACCCCAAGAAAATGGCCATTTGGGTGCTAGGGGGAAGAATGTGTGGAAATCTTTTCCTGCCTTGCAGCAGCAGGCTCAGCAGCAGCAGGAAACAATCACAGAGATGATGACACAGCTTCTGTGACTAGCCTTAACTCTTCTGCCACTGGCCGTTGTCTCAAGATTTATCGTACTTTTCGAGACGAAGAGGGGAAAGAGTATGTTCGCTGTGAAACAGTCCGAAAGCCATCTGTCATAGATGCCTATGTGCGCATACGGACCACAAAAGATGAAGAGTTCATGTGAGTCTGACTCACCGCCCTCCACTGTGATAAGAACGGTAATGGTAGGGAGTAGGAGTGAGGGTGGTGCTTTAGTTTTAGTGACAGCATTCTGCATAGTGGTCCCTGGGAGTCTGTTCATTGGGAACCGTCTTGCCTTTCAGCTCTTTGGGTTTGAATAGAGCCGAATCAGAGGGAGAGTTCCACACTTGCCACCAAATAAAGACATGTTTTCAGTTCTACCTGGGTCCTTTGCGTTTTGGTTAGTTGGTTGGCTGGCAAAAATCTTAGGGATTACTCTCATTCTCAGAGAGGTGCCCCTCTGCAGATGGAAGGCTGAGGGGTGGGGGAGATGAGAATGCCAGGCAGCCCCTTTTATTTCAGTATGGATGAATTACTTTGGTGTGGAGGTGTTTAGCTGGTAGGACAGTTTTCTTGGCTTAGATTTACTTATGCTCCTGTGATTTCCCCCTTCCCACCCCCACTATTCTGCAGTCGAAAATTTGCGCTTTTTGATGAACAGCATCGAGAAGAGATGCGAAAGGAACGGCGGAGGATTCAAGAGCAGCTGAGGCGGCTTAAGCGGAACCAGGAAAAGGAAAAACTTAAGGGTCCTCCTGAGAAAAAGCCAAAAAAACTGAAGGAGCGTCCTGACCTAAAAGTAAGTCTAGTGCGGTGTGATTTTAACTACCAAAGTAAAGGAAGAAGGCATACCTTTTCCTTGAGGTTTTGGGATCCTTCCTCGCTGGGAATGAGGGCAGTATCGTCGAAAGCTAGTCTGCATTGATGTAGCTACTTGAGCCTTTTCAGTACTAGAATGACTGGTACCAACACCACCTAATCTGGTGCCCACTGGGTGTCATTTCATATTTCATCCATTGGAAATATTTTCTAGGAGTTGAGATAGGTTTGGTGGATTTTTTTACATGGACGTTTATGTACATACATGCATATAGACACATCTTGTTTTTAAATTGTATCTATTGAAGCAACAGAAACATATAAAATACATGTTGCTTTGCGTAACTTAGGTAGGATTCCAGATGTTACTATGCAAAGTGTGATTGTAATGTGCACCATAAAATGAGACAACTGTGGTACAATGGAAAGAGCTGTGGACTTGCACACAGAAGACCTGGATTCAGGCCTGGTTGCCACTTGATAGCTCTGTGCCCTTAACCTCTCCAAACCTGTTTCTCTTCTATAAAACGATACCTGCCTTACTGGGTCGTTGTGAAATAAGACATGGGAGGCACTTTATAAACTGTAAAATTCTCAACAAACTTAAACTGCTGTTAACATGAGGTCATTGAAATACTTTCATGTTCCTTTCCTGTAGCACAAATCCTTTCTTGTATCATACATATGATAAAGCATTGACCTCATTTTACAGATGAAAATGGAGTCAGTTGCAAAACTAGGATGGGGACTTGGTATTTATTATTTAGCCTTTTCCTTGGGGCTGGGAACATGTCCATGCTGGCTGCCTGTGCTGTGGAATGCAGCCTTGGGCCTCCAGCAGCTTTTCTTTATATTTACTATTTTCATAGTTTACAACTTAAATTGGGAGTGGAAATCTTCTCCCTTTTCTTTCTTACTTGATTTTTAAAGAAATGTTTGTTCTCACCTCGGCTGGTGTGGCTCAGTGGATTGAGCACTGGCCTGCAAACCAAAGGGTCGCTGGTTCGATTCCCAGTCAGGGCGCATGCCTGGGTTGCGGGCCAGGTCCCTGGTTGGGGGCACGTGAGAGGCAACCACACACTGATGTTTCTCTCCCTCTCTTTCTCCCACTCTTCCACTCTGTCTAAAAATAAATAAAGTCTTTTAAAAAAAGGTTTGTTCTCTATATTTTTTAATGTGTCTTTTCCATGCATGCACTTTTGTCCAGTGCCTTCTGGTTGAAAGGTGTTTAACAGTTCTTTTTGAACAAAAGTTTTGGGCCTGCCTTTGTTTCTCTCCTGTCTTGTATGTACCATATGTTGCCATGTATAATGCATCCTTTTTTGCCTCAATTTTTGAGGGAAAAATAAGGATGCACATTATACATGGGTAGTACCTGAAATACCTTGTTATTGTGTTTTGTAATTATTTGTTGCATTATATTTCTTGTACCATAATATGTTCAAAAATAAATGCTAAAATTCCTTTATAGTACAAAAATATTATCTAAATATAAATAAACAAACATTGAATTAAAAAATTAAAACAAAAGTTTTTTTTTCCTGAAAGTTTGGGCCAAAAATGTGGGTATGCATTATCCACGGCAAATATGGTATTTCTTTTTTAGCAGACTTTTAACTTTTTTTAAAAGATTTTTATTTATTTACTTTTTGAGAGAGAGGGAGAGAAGCATCAATGTGTGAGAGATACATAGATTGGTTGCCTCTCCCATGCCCCCAGCTGGGGAACCTGGGCCACAACCCAGGCTTGTGCCCTGACTGGGAATCGAACCTGCGACCTTTAGGTTTGCAGGCTGATGCTCAATTCACTGAGCCACACTAAGCAGGGCTAACCTCATTTTTCTATGCAAAAAAATTTCATTGAAAGTTCTTTTCTGGAAAGATCATAAGCTGAACTACTTATGTGGTATATATTTCCTCTGACATTGATACTTTTCCTCCTGCAGCTGAAGTGTGGGGCTTGTGGTGCCATTGGGCACATGAGGACAAACAAATTCTGCCCCCTCTACTATCAAACAAATGCGCCGCCTTCTAACCCCGTTGCCATGACAGAGGAGCAGGAGGAGGAGTTGGAGAAGACAGTCATTCATAACGATAATGAAGAACTCATCAAGGTTGAAGGGACCAAGATTGTCTTGGGGAAACAGCTAATTGAGAGGTAAGGGGTAGCAAGCAGGCAGGAAGTGCCCTGGAAGAGATCTATTGGCTGTTGGTGATATTGATGGGTGGCGGGGGGTGGATGTTACATATTCTCTGATGTGGACCTGAGGGCATAGGAACTTTGATGGAGTTGCCTCCACATTGTTGCCAGTAATGAAAATTACAATATTTTGTTGTAAGGCACTTACTAAGTTTTACCATTTACCCTCAGTTTTCTTATTTATAAAATAAAACCACCCTTCCTGGGGCAATTATGAAGATAAAAATAAGAGAGTCTGTATCAGGCACAGTGCCTGGCAATATATAGTAGATGCTCTTTCTATTCTACTTCTAGGCACTCATCAATAATTATTTGTAAGGTCCCTAATCTCAGAATGTTATAACTATGGACGATCCAAAAAGATTGAGACATAAACTGTGCTTACACATACCTGTCTCTTACCCTCAGAGAATTTAATAGAGAAGTGGAAAAGTTTTTAAATTTAAAATTTTCCTGTAACTTTTAGTTTGAAAACTGCAAGCCTACAGAAAAACTGAAGAGGATAATACAGCATACTATTCTTCTAAATTACCAGCTGTTAGCTTTTGTCACATTTGTTCATCTTTATATATTTAAACTATTTTTGCTGAACTGTTTAGAAGTGAGTTGCAGGCATCATGACATTTCACTTATAAATTCCTTAGTGTAAGGATATAACAATTTGATACTTCTTATTACACCTAAGAAAATTAACATCCATTCAGTAGTATCTCATATCCCATTCTTATGCAAATGTCCTTAGTTGTCTCAATGTCCTTTACTGCCTGTTCCCAAATTCAGGATCCAGTCCCAGTTCAAACATTAAGTATTTCGAGTTTCTTCTAATCTAGAACTGTCCTTCACACCTTTTTTGGTTTTTATGTCATTGAATTTTTTTTTTGAAGAGTCCAGGCCAGTTGTCTCATAAAATGTCCCACATTCTGGACTTGTCTGGCTGTTTTCTCATTGATTATATTCAGATTAAATGTCTTTGGCAAGATTACTACATGGATGGCATTAATGTATTTGATATACCATATCAGGAAGCTCATAATGTCAGGTTTTCTTAATATTTTATTCATCTTGTTTGTTAAAGTGATGATCCCAGATTCTTCTGTAATAGAGGTATGTTTTTCCTTTTGTAATTAGTGTGTGAGTGAATGTCCTGTTCCCTGACGGTCAATCTTTCCTAACTCAGTTATTACATTGGGGGTTGCAAAACAATGGTTTATTTCTAATTGTAGAATTATTTCTACATTTGATGGCATTCTATGAAGAAAAGCTTCCCCTCCCTTTTTATTTTTATTTTTTTCCCTCACCATTTGTTCCCCATATACCCTCTTCCACCTCCATCTACCCCTCCCCCCTTCCCTTCCTTTTTGAATACTACTTTGGATCCTGAAATTTTTCCTTTGCAAACTTAACCCCATCATTGATTTTGATGCCCATATATTATCCCAAATTTAACCCCTTCAGACTAGATCCTGTCTACTTTTGAAATGACCCTATAAAACTTTGAGAAATTCTTTGCTTTCTAGCATAAGGTGTTCTAGGCTCTCCTTGAAATTTCTCTGTCCCAGACCTGGAATCAGCCATTTCTCTAATGGAGCCCTGGTTCCATTTATTAGGGAATGCTGATTAGAAACCAGGCTCTCGAGGTCATTGCTTCTGGGCTCTTGGTGGACAGAACTCGGGGATATACATGTGTTATAAATCACAGCTTCACAGAGATACCTCCATTTCAGACCGAATCTAGAGATTCTTCCTCAGCTCCCTCTATTTCATATTTTCTCTGGTTCCCAACATCAATATATTTTTATTCATTTGCTTTATCCCATGACACATACAAAATAGTTTGAGAATTACAATACCAATATCACTACCAACAACAAACCTATAAATTAGAGTCAGGTGTTTTCTGTAGCTCGTCGTCCTTGGACTATTGTATTTTTAGGACCATAAGACGCACCTAGGTTTCAGAGGAGGAAAATAGGAAAAAAATTTTGAAGGAAAAAATGTGGTAAACTATTTAATAACCTGTGACCCTGCTCCACTGCCTCCCCCGCACAGTGAGCCAGGCAAGCTACATTTGGCCTGTAAGACGCACCCCTGCTTTCTCCCCAAATTTGGGGGGAAGTGCGTCTTAGAGTCCGAAAAACACATATATATTCCACTGAAGTCAGGATATTATATTAAAAATATATTTGAATTCCTTTTTGTGTGTATTTTAAAATTTGATATTCAGTTATATTCATTGTTTCTGATTCTTTTAAGTGTTGGGCTTTCTTGTTTCCTTGTTGATTTAATTTATCAATACTGTAATAGTCTTTTTTTTTTTAAGATTTTATTTATTTTTAGAGGGGGGAGGGAGGGAGAAAGAGAGAGAGAGAGAGAAACATCAATGTGCGGTTGCTGGGGGCCGTGGCCTGCAACCCAGGCATGTGCCCTGACTGGGGATCGAATCTGCGATGCTTTGGTTCGCAGCCCGCGCTCAATCCACTGAGCTACGCCAGCTAGGTTGTAATAGTCATATTTTGTCATTCGAAAGGGAATGACTACTGTAATAGTCATTCGAAAAGGAATTTTTTCTAATTTCCCAGTCCTCTTCATCCCATACAGTGGAAGGGAAGAAGGTGGATGGACTTCTAATGATTGAAGGAAGGTCAAACTAATTTGTTTATTTGCAAAACCAGTTTTCAGTTTTTTCCTTGTTTCCATTCTAAGTTTCCTAGCTCTTTAGCCTAAGATAGGATGTTGGAGCTAGAAGAATTCTTGAAATTCATTTAGCCTAGTTTCCTTATCTTCTAAATAGGAGACTGAGGTGAAGCTGTAGCTTGCCTAGTTCTTTAATAATTTGGAGATCCTGTGAGGCCTTGCCTTATCTGAGCCTTCGATTGTGGGTGTCTGGCCTTTGGTTTGGCTTTTTCCTCCTCAGGGTCGCGGTCAGGTGTTTTGGACCTTTTCACTCTAGTTGCTTTTTCTTCTGGGGACTAAAAATAAGGGACTGCATGCTATGACAGTGTTATTGATTGCAGCGCAGATGAGGTTCGCAGAAAATCTCTGGTCCTCAAGTTCCCGAAACAGCAACTCCCTCCCAAGAAGAAACGGCGAGTTGGAACCACTGTTCACTGTGACTATTTGAATGTGAGTATTTGCATTGCTTCATTCTGACCCAATGAGATTCTCATTGCTCCCCCTAGCCCTGTAAGCCGTGGTTCTGACCCAGCCTTAGATTCTCCTTTTGTCCTTGCCCTGAAAATTACGTAGACTTCATTACAAGACTTCTAAACTGTATTTGTCTAGCTAGAAGAAAGTATTGTTGTTTTATTTTTTAAATCTGTAAGAAGCATACTGATTCCTTGTTTCTCCTCAGAGACCTCATAAATCCATCCACCGGCGCCGGACAGACCCCATGGTGACATTGTCATCCATCTTAGAGTCTATCATCAATGACATGAGAGATCTTCCAAATGTGAGTTCGTTGCATTCATATGTACAGTACCGATGGCAAGGCTCTGTGTTCTGTCTGTGGCTTCAGATAGAGCACAGTAGAGTATAGTTGTAGGTACATGGAACTCCTAATACTTTGGGATGTGGTTTTGGGTTTTTTTTTAAAAAGATAGTTTATTAGAGGAAATAGACTTGTTCCATGAGAAAGAGTCCTTTGAGAGTTGGTGGCCAGGTAGACAGGTCAGATGAGAGAGAATCTTCAGGAATTGGCTCTGGTCAGTATTCTTTGCTTATGGATGGTCCTGGCTTTTGTTTGCACAGACATACCCTTTCCACACTCCAGTCAACGGAAAGGTCGTAAAGGACTACTACAAAATCATTACTCGGCCAATGGACTTACAGACACTCCGTGAAAATGTGCGTAAACGCCTCTACCCATCTCGGGAAGAGTTCAGAGAGCATTTGGAACTCATTGTGAAAAACAGTACAACCTACAATGGTAAGAATCATCTGTTCTTTGACTGAAGAGGTCACCTTTCAGATGCTTGTTTATCCCTTACTGGTCTAGTAAATTCAGACTGGATTGAACTGACCAAAAGGTTTTAAAGTGTATAAGTGAATTTTGGGGTTATGGAAATCCGGTAGTATACATTTTAGTCATTTAATACACAGTTGACCCTTGAACAACACGGGCTTGAGTGGCGTGAGTGCACTTATATGCGATTTTTCAGTCGACCCTTGCAGTTCAAATCAGTGTTGTTCGAGAGTCAACTGGCAGTGGGAATCCGAATACGTGGAGGGCAACTTAAGTTATACATGGATCTTCAACTGTGTGGGCAGTCATTGTTCCTAACCTTCATGTTGTGCAGGGGTCAGCTGTGTATTGCTTCTTTTTTTTTCTTTTTATTAAATATATTTTATTGATTATGCTATTACAGTTGTCCCATTCCCCCCTTCACTCCCCTCCACCCTGCACACCCTCTCCCACCCGCGTTTCCCCCCTTTAGTTCATGTCCACGTGTCATACTTATGAGTTCTTTAGCTTCTACATTTGTCATACTATTCTTACCCTCCCCCTATCTATTTTCTACCTACAATCTATGCTACTTATTCTCTGTACCTTTTCCCCCTCTCTCCTCCTCCCACTCCCCTGTTGCTAACCCTCCATGTGATCTCCATTTCTGTGGTTCTGTTCCTGTTCTAGTTGTTTGCTTAGTTTCTTTTGGTTTTGCTTTAGGTGTGGTTGTTAATAATTGTGAGTTTGCTGTCCTTTTACTATACATAGTTTTTTTTTTATCTTAGATAAGTCCCTTTAACATTTCATAAAATAAGGGCTTGGCGATGACGAACTGTTTTAACTTGACCTTATCTGAGAAGCACTTTATCTGCCCTTCCATTCTAAATGACAGCTTTGCTGAACAGAGCAATCTGGGGTATAGCTCCTTGTCTTTCATGACTTGGAATACTTCTTTCCAGCCCCTTCTTGTCTGTAAAGTGTCTTTTGAGAAATCAGCTGACAGTCTGATGGGCACTTCTTTGTAGGTGACTGTCCCCTTATCTCTTGCTGCTTCTAGGATTCTCTCCTTCATTTTTACCTTGGGTAATGTATTATGATGTGCCTTGGTGTGTTTCTTCTTGGGTCCAACTTCTTTGGGACTCTCTGAGCTTCCTGGACTTCCTGGAAGTCTATTTCCTTTGCCAGAATGGGGAAGTTCTCCTTTATTATTTGTTCAAATACCTGTTCAATCTGTTGCTTTTCCTCTTCCCCTTCTGGTACCCCTATAATTTGGATGTTGGAACTTTTAAAGATGTCCTGGAGGTTCCTAAGCTTCTCCTCATTTTTTTTGAATTCTTATTTTTCCATCCTTTCCTGTTTGGTTGTTTCTTTCTTCCTTCTGGTCCACTCTATTGTTTTGAGTCCCAGTTTCCTTCCCATCACTATTGGTTCCCTGTGCATTTTCCTTCATTTCTTTTATCGTAACCTGCATTTGTGACCAAAATCAACCAATTCTGTGAGCTTCCTGATCACCAGTGTTTTGAACTGTGCATCTGATAGGTTGGCTATCTCTTGGTCGCTTAAAAGGATGAGTTCTGGGGCATTGATTTGTTCTTCTGTTTGAGCCATCTCTCTCTCTCTCTTTTTTTTTGGTCTGGTTGCTCCTGTTACAGTGAGGGGTGGAGCCTTAGGTGTTCACCAGGGCTGGGCACCCCAGTGGCTAGATTGTGACGTTGTATGTGGGGGTGGGGGCGGGAGGGAACAATGGTGGTAGCTCCATTCTCTGTGGGACCTCAGTCCCTTTCCTGAGATCCTGGGTTGTGCGCTCTGCCCTGCTCCACAATCACTGCCTCACTGGGTCTTCCAGCTGCTGCTTGAGTACTCAGGGTCCACCCGCTGCGATCTTGCGTGCCCCGGATGCCTTATGTGCCCAACTCTGCTCTTCACACTGCTACCCATGCCTGGCTGCTCGTCTCCGCCCCTCCTACCAGTCTGGACGCACAGGTCTAATTCAACTTCTTGGCTGTCTGACTTCCATTCAGATCCGTTTTCTGTCAGTTCTGGGCGTTATTCTGCCTCTAAATTGTTGTTTCAATCTTGGTTGTGCGTGGAGGTACAGTGTGTCCACCTATGCCTTCATCTTGGCTGGAAGTATGTATTGCTTCTTTTTGTTAACACTTTTTAATGTATCCTCTGGAGATTTTGGATTGTATCAGTAGGAATGAAATGGTTGCATGGGGGAGTAATTGGCAGGAACAAGTGGACCTAGGTGAAAAGAAAGGAGAAACATTCAATGTGTATGGAACCTGTGCAGAGTATGTGCTTGTGACCAAATTTGCTGTGTGTGAATCTTTGATTTGGTCTGCAAACCTATTATAGGGGATGTCATATGTCCACTTTGCTTAGAAGCTGGAAAAGCAAGGAGGAAGAAATCTTTCTGAGTTTTTTAAAGGGGGAGGAGACCAATACAGCTTCTGCATCTAAAGGATAAAGTTTTGTGGTTTCCATTGTAGCCTTGAGCACAGATTCATCCATAAATGTAGGTATTAAGAGTACAGATACACTATGAGTCGTGGCTCTTCTTCTTACTACTTGTGTTACTTTAGACAAATTATTTAACCGCTCATAGCCTCCTCAGTTTTCTCATCTGTAAACTTGGGGCAATAGTAGTACCTAGATTGTAAGACCTTTCACAAGCAGGCCTGACCCATTTATTCTAGTGTCATCTCCAATGACTGGCTCCTTTTCCGACTGTAGACTCCTGCTATACTCAACAGTACATCTCACTAAACATCCTGTGCTATTTTTTCATACATTTGCATAGTCTTTGCCCTCTACCTGGAGTGCTCTTTCTTCCCTGTCAGTGGCTAATTTCCATTCATATTTCCAGACCAATTCGTATTATCTCTTCATGAAGACTTATTCAGATTGCCCAAAATAAACATTTTTGATATTCTGCGCACCTCTAGCACAATTAAATTAAATCAACTGATACAGCTTTTATTGCTATATATAAGCATTTATATGTCTGATTGCCCGACCACTTTGTGACTTACTAGAGACTGTCTTACTCGTCTTTGTATTTCCATGTCCTAGCAGAGTGCCAGGTACATACAAGCAAAGAATAAATTGGTTAGGCCCAACTGTCATTCAAGTTGCAAGGATAAATACTTGAAAACCAGATTGGAAGGGAAATGAGAAGGAAAGAGTGGATTTTGAAAATACAGAGTTGGAGATATCTGTGGTTCCTTTAGGTAGAGCTGTTAGTAGAAAATTAGAAATTTTTTTTTTTTTAAATGCTAAGTAGAACAAGGTGTTCTTTTTTTTTAAGATTTTATTTATTTATTTTTAGAGAGGGAAGGGAGGGGGAGAGAGAGAGAGAGAGAGAGAGAGAGAGAGAGAGAGAGAGAGAGAGAGAGATATCAATGTGCGGTTGCTGGGGGTTATGGCCTGCAACCCAGCAATGTACCCTGGCTGGGAATCGAACCTGGGACACTTTGGTTCCCAGCCCGCGCTCCATCCACTGAGCTACGCCAGCCAGGGCTTAGTAGAAAATTAGAAATTTAAAGTTATGACTTTTTGACAGCCTTACATGCATATCATACAGCAGTGTTAACTGTAGTTACCATGTTTTACATTACATTCCCAGTGCTTATTTGTCTTGTAAATGGAAGTTTGTACCTTTTGACTACCTTCCTCCAATTCTCCCTCCCCCCACCCTCCACCTCTGGTAACCACAAATCTGATTTCTTTTTTCACGAGTTGGAGTTGTTTTTTTTTAGGTTCCACAAATATAAGTGAGATCATACAGTGTTTGTCTTTGTTGTTATACGTCTCTGCATGTGCTTGGAAATTTCCTTCTTGAACTTTGTTTTATTTGGCACTACTGAGTACTTTTTCTTTCTTTGATCAAACTCTTTTTAAAAAAAAATTTTTATTTTATTTTTAGAGAGAGGAAGGGAGGGAGATAGAGAGGGAGAGAAACATCAATGTGTGGTTGCCTCTCACGCACCCCCTAGTGGGGACCTGGCCCACAACACAGACATGTGCCCTGACTGGGAATCAAACCAATGACCCTTTGGTTTGCAGGCCGTCGTCGCTCAATCCACTGAACCATACCAGCCAGGGCCCTTCTTTGATACTCTTTTTCTCCCTTATTGCAGGAGTACTTTATCTAATTCCTTCCTATCCTCTTCATTCTCATGACTTAAGAAGCTACCAGCGTAGCTCAGTGGATTGAGTGCAGGCTGTGAACTAAAGCATCTCAGGTTCGGTTCCCAGTCAGGGTACATGCCTGGGTTGCAGGCCACAGCCCCCAGCAACCACACATTGATGTTTCTCTCTCTCTCTCTTTCTCCCTCCCTTCCCTCTCTAAAAATAAATAAATGAAATATTTTTAAAAAATTAAAAAAAAGAAGCTACCATATATCCACTGATATCACTATCTCCATGCCATATCTCTCTTAACTCCATACTCATGTTTCCAATTGCCTGCGAAACATATCCATCTCTCAGTGCCCTACTGGAAGCTATCTGGTTGCCTTATTTAGCTTGATAATATTACCATTCATCTAGTTGTACAACCTAGAAATGTTAAGTCATCTTTGGTTCCATCCCCTCTATTTCACCCTCATAGATCACTAAGTCCCATAAGTTGTACCTTCTAAGTTTTGCTGGAACATATCCCTGCCTTTCAGGTTTCATTGCTACTATCTTAGTTGAAGCCCTTCTAATCTCTTTTTCGACCTCTCGTAACAGCTTCTAAACTTTTCCTGCGCTGTTACCTTAATTCTTCACCTGTTGACAGGGTATTTTTTTCTGAAACACAGATTTGAAAAAATATCCTCCAGCTTAAATCTTCAGTGACTTTCTATCACCCGTGAGACCTTTGTAATATGTGACCTCCAGCCTTTCCAAGTCATGTTTGCTGTTTTTCCTCCACCCATACCTCCATTCCGGTTGTATCAAACTACTTCTGATGCCTGTTGTAAAATGTGCCACATTATATTTCTAAGAATGTTGCTTACCTCTGTGTCTTTGCGCACTTTTTCCTCTCTCTGGAATATTTTTCTACATGATTTCCTACCTGATGGACTTCTCTTCATTGCTGACACTGCTCAAATGTCAGTCACAGCAAGCCTTCCCTACTTACTCCTCCTCAGTGCACAGGTTTAGCTGTTGTAAAACAGCTTGCAGTGTACTTGATATGCAGCCCTCCATATTTTATAGCAACCAGTATATCACTCTAATCACACTTATACTCGGTTTTTAAAAACTTTCTTATGGAAATTGTTAGGCATATACAGAAGTGGAGAGGACAGTAATAAATCTCAGTGGACCTATTCACCCAGTTCAACAACTGCTAGCATGGGGCTGATCTTGTTTATTGTTTACTCTGTGCTTAACAGACATTTTATTATCTCATCCATGGAAACTTTAAGCACTTAAAATCTGTCTTACAGTGGGTTTTTTTTTTTTCCTTGTCATTCTCTTTGACTAAATCAAGAACTGTCTAAGGTAGGAACTGTGTGTTATTTCCTCATTATTGGACATGTCGTCAAACATTTGTTGAATGAATAAACAATTGAATGCTAAATTAATTAGGGATTGAAAACAGAGCTGAGGTTTAGGCTCTGGGGAGCACTTCCACGGAAGAATAGACAAAGATAAGCAAAGAAGTTCTTTAAGAAAGTAGTTGGAATTACTGTCTAGATAAAAATGTGTTAAGTATCCTGGTGAGCTTAAATTAGGGCAATCATAAGCAGGGAGTGTATAGGAAATCGGTTCAAGGATTTTCTGAAACTCTTATAACGGATTTCAGGGAAATTAAAGTCTGAGATGGGATGGAGATTCTTTTGTGAGAAAGGCTTTTGATTAGCTATTTGTTGGGAGAACATTATACACTATGAGTTCTGCAAACAAAAATTGCCGTCACAAATTCTGTATACTAAGTATGGAAAGATTTTTTAAATCATGTATTGATTTCCTCATCCATCCTTAAACAAATTGTCATTCCCCATCCATAGTATCATTTTCTTTTTCTTTTTTTTTAATTAAAGACAGTTTTCTTTTTCAGATTTTATTTATTTTTAGAGAGGGAAGGGAGGGAGATAGAGAGAGAGAGAGAGAAACATCAATGTGCAGTTGCTGGGGGTTATGGCCTGCAACCCAGGCATGTACCCTGGCTGGGAATCGAACCTGCGACACTTTGGTTCACAGCCCATGCTCAATCCACTGAGCTACACCAGCCAGGGCCATAGTATCATTTTCAAGGTATTAAAGGCAGCAGTATCAACTGTAGTACTACTATGTGTGGATATACACAAATACGGAAGAGTTCAAATGAATTTATTCATTTGTGTGTATTTACTACTTGTTAGGCACTCAAAATGGAGATAAGACTGGTATATCTGTGTAACCCAGAGGCTAGGCTGGTGCCTGGCACATACTCAGTGCTTAAGTAAATGTGTTAAAAATCTGGAGAAGTGTTGGCAACTCTTGCCTCCTGTTTTTAACGGTTCCATCTCTTCTTGTTTCTCTATGATTTAGGGCCAAAACACTCACTGACCCAGATCTCTCAGTCCATGCTGGATCTCTGCGATGAAAAACTCAAAGAGGTAAGACTTTAAAATGACAGGAAGGCAGTGACTTAGAAGGTGGTGGGTAGCAGGGTTGAGGAAGTAGGGGGTGTAACAGAAGGAAGAGTGCAGAAATGTGGGAGTAGCAGATTTTTAGCGTGTTGGACTCTGGAAAGGACCCAAGAAATTATATAGTCCAGTCCTTTTGTAGATGGAAAAACGGAGGCCCTTAGAAGAAAAGGACTTGTCCTGGGCATCATGACTAATAAATAGTAGAGCTAGGATTAAAATCTTGAGCCCACACACTTCTTTAGAAAGAGCCAAGGAAAGTGGTTTTCCTGGAAGTCATTGGAGCCGAGAGACTGATTTGGCAGGGAGGAATTTTAATTTTTGAAAGATTATTGATCTATGTTCGATCTTCTTACCCAAAATACAAATATGGTACTTACAAGCAAGCTTACAGAAATGCAATGACGATAATGATAATGATGTTAGTATTGAGGTAAACGCTTCATAAAAGAAGATAATCAAATAACCTAAACCAATAAACATGAAAAAATTCTCTACTTGATTGATCACTGGGGAAGTGCAAATTGAAACCATGATTAGATACCACTACATACCTACCAGAAAGGCAAAAATTTAAAAAGACTTAAAAAGTTGACAATACTAAGTGCTGATGAGTATGTGGACCAGCCGGTACATAAACTTTTTCCTAATATACTCTGAAATGAATTTATTGGGTTAGATTCCCTTACACAAAAGTCAACTAATCAGCAGTAATGTTTTCAGGGTTTTCAGCAATAGTTTTATAGCAAAAACGGCGTGCTATTAAAACCTAGCTTGGTTAAGGTGTTTTTGTTATGGAACCTAAGGTTTTGATGCCCAGGAATGTATATTTTTTGGTGGTCTGTAAGAACAGAACGTAAAATACCTAAAGGAGTGGTTGGCACATCATTTTTGGTCCTTTTACTGGAATATCATTTATCTGGACTTTCTGCTTGAAACTGAATACTCGACAATTCATAGTTAGACTTTTTGAGGCAAGGGCAATAGACAACTAAACCTTAAAATCATCCTTAATTTTGGGTGATGATTACACCTCAGGGAAATCACTACCTGTCTTTTGCTTTGTTTCACATCAGAAAGAAGACAAATTGGCTCGTTTAGAGAAAGCTATCAATCCTTTGTTGGATGATGATGACCAAGTAGCATTTTCTTTCATCCTGGACAACATTGTCACACAGAAAATGATGGCAGTTCCAGATGTAAGTGGTTTCTGTGCTAAGTATTGTGAAGATAGTGCAGGGGGCACGGAAGAGCATTAGGGTGTGCATGTTTGTGTGTGTCAGGGATCCTGCAAGGTGGTGTTTGCCAATTCAAACTGGCATACAAATTTAAAAACTGATTTTTTTGCTCTATGTGCGCATTATCATTGAAATCAAAGAGACCGGGAATCTGGATATAGAGAGATTGTTTCTTCTTAACTGTTTACATTCAATCTTTGAATGCTCCTGAATAGCCCAGGAGAGAAATTAGTATGCCAGCTACTGGGAAGCTTTGGGTTTAGAGTTGCTTTTTGAAAAATGACAGTTTGATAATTAACCAGTGTTTGTTGTCTTTTGTTTCATTTTTTTATCTTTTGCAACTTTGTAACAGGGCTGCTATGTTGATTCTTTGTACCATTTTTTAAAAAAATTTTTATTTATTTTTAGAGAAGGAAGGGAGGGAGAAAGAGAGAGAGAGAGAAACATCAATATGTAGTTGCTGGGGGTCATGGCCTGCAACCCAGGCATGTGCCCTGACTGGGAATCGAACCTGTAACACTTTGGTTCGCAGCCCGTGCTCAATCCACTGAGCTACGCCAGCCAGGGCCTTTGTACCATTTTTGTTCCAAGGATCCTACCTAGGAATTCGGAACTAAATTTCTTTTTGTGTTGTAGGCATATGTTCTGTATGTGTAATGCTATAAAGCTTCTGGATGGGACTAAGGAATAAGAAGTTTTAATTATGAGTATGGAGGAGGGATTCTTACTCTATCAGGGTATAGGAACCCTTAAAGGGATACATGAACCCCTTAAATTGCATAGTTTTGTGTGATTGTGTGTCTTCGTGGGAAAAGGGTCTATAGTTCTGTCGGAGTCTTAGGAATATCTGTGACCCAATGAAGTTTGAGAATCTCCAGTATGAAGAATGGTTTTTATTTAATTTCTCATGCTTTCTTTTTATTAGTCTTGGCCATTTCATCACCCAGTGAATAAGAAGTTTGTTCCAGATTATTACAAAGTGATTGTCAATCCAATGGATTTAGAGACTATACGTAAGGTGAGTGATTTGATCTAAGATGTCTTTTTGGAATCAAGTAACTTTTTATGTGTATCTGAGTACCTAATTCTTTTAATCCCAGAATATCTCCAAGCACAAGTATCAGAGTCGAGAGAGCTTTCTGGATGACGTCAACCTTATCTTGGCCAACAGCGTTAAGTACAATGGTGGGTATATCTTCTTGTTTTTTCTCTTTCCATTAATCTTTCCATCTGACATTAGTTAGCATTATTAAAATTTAAGTGCATAAGGAAGCCGTGAGCAGTGGCAGTCAGCAGAATCAGTCAGATGTCTCACTCTGCCTTTTTAAAAGCAGGCACATATTTTAGTGTATGTGTTCTATAAAGTTTATTAGTAACTTTTAATGATGAAAAAGCAATGCGCATTTTTTTAACTTTGGAAAGTACAGAAAAATGAGATGAGAATAAAAATCAAATGGATATTACTTTGGACTTTGAGTTATCACTGCTTTCCATGAGATATGCAAACTCACCCATGTTCTAGGCCCTTAGATGGAGCTTAGAGAAATGTGTGACTTATAGACCATGGTGAGCTTCCTTAGAGCATGGAGTTTTTGCTCAGCATATGAACTGATTGAATAACTGATTGAGCACCTAATATGTGCTGGCACTGATGCTGCAAATACAAAATCAAACTAGATATGGTTTCTGCCCCCACTTGGTTATAGTTCAGTTAGGGAAACAAAAGAAAAATTATGGAACATAAATATTATTGCTAGATGCATGCAGAGTGCCAAAGAAACCCAGAAACAGGGTGTCTAAATCAGAGTGGGATTAGAAGCAGCTTTCTAGGAAAGAGTTTTTCTTAAGCTGAGTTCTAAAGGATCAATGGATTTTGCTAGGCAGAGAGAACAGTACTATGTAAAGGCACAGAGGATTGAAGTTACATTATAGGCTTGTGAAATAAGTTGTTGGGGTTGCAGTTAAGTGTACGTGTTGGTGAATGACTGGTTGTATGTGGAGAGATACATAGGAGTCAAATCATAGAGGGCCTGTGTGCCATATGCCAAACTTCAGGGTTTTTACTTTATCCTAAGTGGGAGGACATTGAGGGAATTAAGCAGCGAAATGACATCCCATATAACTCATTAAGCAAAATAGAAGAGGGAGCTAAGGGCGTGTGAGAGAAGCGACCAGCATACTGAGGTCTCAATTGAAAGTGCACATGATTCTAGGGCTTTTCTTCAGCAATAATCAGCAGCCCAAGTAGTATGGCTGTAAGTTTGCCAGAGAGGGGGGACAGAGAATTGGAGGGAGGAGATTGAGGAGGGGATTTCTGGACAACCAGAAAGACAGATGAGGAAATGAGTATTCTTAGCAGAGAGAACAGAATGTTCCGTATCACAGAGGAATGAAGGAACAGGGCAAATTTGGGGAACTATACTTGAGTAGAACCTATGTAGTTCACTAAGGGAAGTGGTGGGAAATGAGCCTTCCATTTTTGTTCATCTGGGTTTGGTTAAAAGAATGTACTTTTTGTGCTTTTCTTATTGATCATCAGAAATAGAGGATGGAAGTATCCTTTGTTGGGTCAGTTTCCTATGCATTATTATCTCCTGAAAACACCTAGAGCTAATCAGCCAGAATTCTGGTAAAATAGAAGTGTCGGTAGGCTCACTGATGTCCAGTAATGATTGTGACAGATGATGTACAAGCAGGAGTGTTAAGAAAGGCTGCTTGGCCTGGTGATGGCTGGCTTAAGATATGAGGAGCTTATGTGTAAAGCAATAAGAAAAATCCAGAAGATGCTAATTGAAAATTGAACAGGGGGCAGATGGACAAATCACAGAAGACCAAAATTAAATAGCTAATGAATACGAGTAAAAATTCAGTTGTACTTAGTAATCAAATGCACACTGAAACAAAGAGGTGCAATTTTTTTCACCCATTAGATGAGCTCATGTATTTAATGGACATATTCAGTGCTAGGGAGGCTTATTGCTGTTGGCAGTACAAAATTGTAAGACATTTCTGGAAAGCCCTTTGGCAGCATTGAGAAAGACTTAAAAATAGTTAAGCAAACAGACTTTATAATTCAGTAGGCTTGAATTTGGATATTGGCGCCGCCGCTTAATAGCAGTGTGGTTTTGGATAAGTAACAGCCTTTGCTTTCCCATCTTACAGATGGGAATAATTAATAGAACCCTCCTCAGAGCAGTTGCCTCCTCAGGCAACTGATTGATGTTTCTCTCTCCCGCCGGGGTTTCTCTCTCCCTTCCTCTCTCTCTAAAAGTCAATAAACATATCCTTAGGTGAGGATTATATATATGTGCTCTTTATTTAATCCAGTGAGGATTAAATAAAATGATGCATGTGAGTGCTTAGCATATGTTAATAGGATCATAATCTATCCTAATCAGAGATGCCAGCAAAGATGTTTATGACAATGTTACTTACGTTAATGAAAAATAGCCTGAATGGTTAATGTAAAGGGAATGTTTAGTTATTGTGCCATCTGTGTGATGGATTATTATGTAAAGATTGAAAGGTCTTTCTCTTAAAAAAAATCTAATGGCAAAATCTTGCAATGTTAAGTGAGAAAAACTGAACACAGAGCTGTTTATTTCATCTCAGTTATACTTTTTTAAAAAGTTTTATATATATATGTGTGAATATATATATATATATATATATATATATTTTTTCATTCATTCCTGGCCAGGTGACTCAGTTGGTTGGAATGTCATCCTGTACATCAAAATGTTGCGGGGCCCATACCTAGGTTGCCGGTTCAGTCCCTGGTCATGGTGCAAATAGGAGGCAACTGATTGATGTTTCTCTCTCCCGTCGGGGTTTCTCTCTCCCTTCCTCTTTCTCTAAAAATCAATAAACATATCCTTAGGTGAGGATTATATATATGTATGTATGTGTGTGTGTGTGTGTGCGCGCGTGCACGCGTGTATGTGTGTGTGTATATATATATATGTGGATTTATTTTTAATTTTTTGGATTTTTTTGGTGTGGCATTTTGACATCCCAATTTTCATATATTTGCAAATAGTTTAAAATTATTTTAATTCTGGGGGCCAAATATAAACAGCTATCTGCATGCCACATCCGGCTCCAAGACAGCAGGTTAGCAACCTCTGGCAGAGTAGGAAACATGCCTCAAAATAGGGGTTTCATTTCCCCAAGGGCAAGTACATAATGATTCGGTAGCGGCAGTGGGGAGCCTATAAGGCTGACATCACCCTTCCTTAACCAGTGGATGGCAGTGTAAGGAACTTCTGATTAGGTCTGTAGGTGTTAGGTGGTGTCATATGATATGAAATGGGACATCTTTTGTACTAAAAGGACATCCATCGTGGAGTTGAAGGTGTATATGAGACGTTTTCTACTATTAGGTATTATACACAAACTAATACTTTTGCTTCAAGCTTGTTTGATTTGGCCAAATACGAACCTGCCTCTTGTTTTTAATTAATAGTAACAAAGTTCATGTTGAGTCTATTTCCTATTTAAAAATTTTTTAATTTAAAATGTTTTTACTGACCAAAGTTAGTAGAATGGTATCTCCAGTTAATATTACTTTGACTCTTTCCCTTCAAGTCCTTCACATATAACACTGCATGTAAGTGTATTTCCATAGCCTTTTATATACCTTCGTTGACTTATCCTTTATTATCACATATGTAGTCCATGAGGTATATTGTATATAGCCAGAATGCCTAGCACCAAAACTAGAGTCATTAGGCAACAAGTGGAAGATAAGAACACCGCATACGAAACGGCACCTGCAAGTCTGCGGTACACGCCAGAGGACTCGGTCTCGTACTTAAGTGGTGGTGATGGGACTGCACACTATAGTAAAGTTCGAGCCCTTGTGCCTGCCAGCTGCCACATAGGTGCTGAGTCAATCTCAGAGCCTCTGTTTACGTTCAGATAACATTTGAAGAGAAGATTAATCAGGGAAACTCAAAACTTGGGATTGGAGCTACTTGCAGTGGTCTCAAAAGGCATACAACATTCCATGTCCGTGAAAGGAGGGTCATGCAGGTAAAGACATCCCCCCTGAAAAACACAACCCAAACGTTTGCCAGTCTTAACAAAGCCATAAGGTCTTAAGCAGGCAGAGGGAGGCATTACTACCTAAATGTTTGATTAAATTTGAAATGAACTGCACAGTCTGTACCACTAGGTGGTGCCAAGCTATTCATGATGAGATCTTTTTCCCCAAAGAATTGCCTAGGAAGTTCCTCTGCACATGCTCTTCAAACCCAAAAATCAATAGTAAGAAGCCATCTTCAGTGTGGATCTAGGATAGGTAGATCATGTGTCAAAAACAGAGCTTGAAGTTCTGGAATGCTCAGTGGGACCCTTCAGTCTAAATTAGATATAAAATAAATTTACCAAAAAAAAAAATTGGGGAGAATGGTTTTTTCCACTTTTGTTTAAGTCCCAACCCTGCATTAGTTAGCTCTGATAGCTGTTCTATTTACAGGTCCCTTTGTGGAGTTTTGTCCTATACATGTGCAGCTTAGTATTCAGCCGAAGGCTCAAGGGAGCCTCTCTGCAGATCTTAAGTTCCTTTCCCAGGGAGCTCCCTCCTCTCCAGTCCTGCCCTGCAGTTTCCAGCTGCTTAGCTTCCTCAGACTCGGAGACACTGTCTCTGTAGCTTAGCGAGACTGCTGTGCCTTGCTTGGGTTTCGTGGGAAACCATGGACAGTTGTAGGGCTCACTTCTTTATTTCCATTCCCATTGGTCAGTGTTTGAAAATAGTTGTTTCATGTGTTTTTTTTTTTCTAGTTTTCTGGTTGCCCTGGGAAGACTAGTCCAATAGCAGTTACTTCATCAGGCCCAGAAGGTCTTTCAGTTTTGTATATTGTGTTTTCTGACACAGAGAAACTTCATTTTTATGTACAGATAGGGCAAAAGTAGGTTTACAGTTCTAATGGAAAATAATACAATAATTAATAAAAATACAAGAGTGAGCCTGTTTTGCATACTCACAACTGTAAGCCTCCTTTTCCCCACACCCTTTTTAAATATTTTTCAGTCTTTTCCTTTATGGTTTCTGTTTTTGGTATAATTGTTTAAAAGACCTTTCCTACCCCCAAGGTAACCCAACTATATTTTCTTCCAGTACATGTAATATTTTAAATACTAGCATGCTGATCAGTTTTTAACAATAGAAAATAACATAATAG